TATTTTACTGGCTACAGTACTGGGATATAAACAAAATAAATATGCCTATGTAGATTGGGGGGCTGGGGGGTCAGAAGGGGGCAAACAGAACATTTTTGCCCACAGTCCCCTATAGGAGCTCAATCCGCCTCTGCTCATCAGACTGTGGAACAGGAGAACGTCAGCAGCTCCTCTTCTGTAAATCATCTGTTCAAAGATCCACATACACACCGAGTGTAGAAAGAATCCGTCTGTAAAGAAAACTCCAGACACACATGAGAGGGAAATGTTTCTTTTTCCAAACAGACAGAAAAAAGAACAGACAGATGGTTGTTGCCGGATGAACCAACCCTGACACCCCCGGCACAGACGCACACTTAGTACGGACCTGCTTCAGTCTTCAGGGTCTCTCCTCCAGCTCCGGTGTTGTTCCTGCTCGCCTCCTCTACTCCTCCGGTGTTTTATTTGCGAATCTCCAGCTTTTTTCTCTCTCTCTCCACCAGCAGGACGTGGATCCGATCGTCTTCTCTGCGTATTTTCGCTCCTCTCCCTCTTTCATTGTTGCACATAGATGCGTTCAGCGTCGCCTGCTTCCTCCAGTGACCCATGTCTGCGCGCAGCTCGCCTCCCTGCGCTCTCAATAGATGGTGCAAGTCAAAATGTCCAAATCGCCCGTAGACCCTCTGTCTGCCATGGAGACCAGCGGCTCCCAGTCGCACTATTTCCAGGTAAAGCCTCACACTGGCCCCCGGTGATCTCACATCACATCCTCACACAGGAGAGCCACTCCATGCCTCTGCTACTTGTTGTTGAAATGGAGACGTCGCGTTTTGTCAGCGACTTTTGTCCATTTTGCTGTTTTTTCTATTTTTCCTCCAACACCTCCGCCTTCACTGAATCTGCAGCTCGACGCAGAGAAGCTGTGGTTTTGATTGAGATGCTTTAACGCATCAAAAAACATTTTGATCTCTTTTTAATTGGGTCTTTTGTGCGTTATGTTTTTTTATTCCTCCTGCAACAGTGAATCCACACAGAGATCAACACACATCTCAAACCTCACGTGTGACTTATGTGCTGTCTTTTTACCCTTTTTAATTTTTTGCATGAGTCCAGCTCACCTGTAGCCTGAGTCTTCAGGGCCTCCCAGCTCCCACTGCAACATCCGAGCTCTCTGTCTCACTGTAGGAGGCCTGGGTTCAAATCTGACTGGCCCCCGTGCAGCCACATTCATTGAACCCTGAGATACTGTATGTGTGATTGTGGCAAAGTTACAGCTGATTTTATGTGTTGCACAGAAGCTCCTTTACATCCATTCTCCTTCAAGCTAGGCCTTTATTTGTGTATCTGCACAGACAAGCTGGGTTCTGTCTATATCTGAAGTTGGAGTCATTGTCAGGTGTAAATGTTGTGTTTCAACCTTTTTACCTACCTACTAACCTACAGTCTTACCTACCTTACCACTGACCAACCTTCCTTCCTACCCAGTTACCTATCTAACTTCCTACCTACCGACTTTTCTACCTTTTTCCCTACCTACTTACCTTCCTTCCTACCTGTCCACCAGCCTATACCTACCTACATATCTCTTCTTTTTACTCTTTTCATCTACTCTACTTAATCTGTCTATTTTTCCTGTGTTCCTTTTTCATCCCAGCTGCCGAGGAAGTTGCCTAAACGCAAGAGCCGCTTCAAACGCTCTGATGGCAGCACGTCTTCTGACACCACATCCAGCTTCATCAAACGACAGGTAGAAACCTCTCTGAGCCAGTTTGTTTCTTTCCTTCTCTTCCATGTTTGTTTATGCACTCATATATTGATGGCTACCTTATGTTGAGGTACATCACAGTCACAGGCCTCACTGTGCTCGAAGGTCCTGATGGAACTACAGTGCATTTTGCTTTTAAATCTGCATCATTGGGATCTAAAGTGTGTTTTCTCAGATATTTTGTTTGTAAAATTACATTTACTGGAATCCAGCTCATGTGTGTTCCACTGCACCTTCATCCTCTCAGCCGTCTCCTCAGTCGCAGTTGATGCTTTGCACAGGAGAGGGCAGCAAAATGCTTGAAAGTGGGAGGTGTGTTACATCAAAATCCCTCCACAGCCCAGCTTTTTAATTAATGTTTTTAGGTCACACACGTGCAGGAGACTCAGAAGGAGATTTGGTGTTATTTAAGACGATCTGTGTGACTGGAAAAAAGGAAAAAAAGCCAAAGCAGAATAGAATTCCCTCATGCTGTTACTGTGTGGCTGTTGTGAATCACACCCTCACATCCAGTTCAGATGGTGCATAATAATCGAGCTGGTTTTGATTTACCTCCGTGTTGTTTTTGATGTATTTGGTTTGATTTGGGTGCCGGTGTAAAAGCAGAGGTGGTGTCAGGGAGTCCAGCAGAGCAGAGACTCCTGTAGAAATCAGGTGTAGTGAGGAGTCGAGAAGTTTCACCGAGCTCGTCCCAAACCACCAGATCCCCGAGGTTCACGAGCCTCGTTACATCAAAGAGGATGAAACTACAAGGCTCTCTCTCTGCAGTCCTCTTCTAAAGAATACACCAGGTCTCCACCATCCACTCACTCTTAGTTTATTAATATAGAGCCGGATAAAATGGAATTCAATTATCATTCAAAGAGATGGAAGATTTTCTTTGGCTAAAATTCTTTTAACAGATTAACAACTGTTTTAAGAATAAACTAATAATCTTGCAAAAACACTGAAGCGTCTTAAATGTGAGAATATGCAGCGTTTATTTATTATGGATGATTTTAAACTTAATACCTTGGTTTGCAGACAGTGGTGGAATAAGATTGTAGAATGAAGTACAATAAGTATTACCTTTGTGTAGTACTACTGTGTGAAAAGTAATGATTTCACAGATTTCAAGAGATGCATAAACTTCCCAAAGTGTGTAAGTAAGTACTTTTGGCTTATTTCAGTATAATGAGTATTTATATTATAATGACTGATATTAAATGTTGCAGCTGGCAAAGTACTTTTTTTGTTGATTCAAAATCTTTTAAAGTAACAAGTAACTTAAGTTATACTACGTTTAGTGGAGTATAAAGTACGATATTTACATCTGTATTGTAGCTGATCAAAATTGCAAGTGTACGCTGAACACGTACTTGAGATACATACTTCATTGTTTTAGTTTCAGAGAACACATTTTAAAGATGTTTCCTTAGAGTTCAGAATATTGTGATGGACATTTTTCATCATTTCTTAGTTTTTGTAGCTCTAATGATCAGTATATGAGTAAACGAAATCAGCATCATCAAGAGTTTTTGTTTGGATTCATTCAACCAAACTAAAACTTAGCTGATAGAAAATAAGAGATGAGAAGTGAGACAATATAATTTTCAAAAGAGGAAATAACACAATCTTCCTTATCATGGCTCATCAGAAGTTATTAAGACCCAAACAGTACGTGAAGTTTACTTTGTGCTTGTTTGATTCACTGTAGAGATTATGAGACGTGTATTTAAACACATTGACCAAAAGTCCAACATTTTGTGTTGAGCTGCCACAGAAGACACGAGACGAGACTGTCACACACAGCCAGGACATCAGGGTTAAAGCAACGGAACGATCCAGATTCATTATCCCACAACATCGATTAATGACTGAATGCATGTGATCAACTCTGTGTGTTAACTTTATATCTTGAGTGAAATTCAGATGTTTCCATTACACTGACTGTAACTGAGCCAGACATTGACTTTTACTTCATTTAGACAGAATGAGTGTAACGCTACATGCTAATGGTACTGATTCATAAAGAAACATACAGTCCAGTTTGTCAAAGCGCCATAGCAGCTGACACCACTGCTGTTTGGCTATAGGTTCTATAAAATGTCAAATGAGGAGCCATGGTGTGTATCATTTAAGTGTATGTATTATATGTAAAAAAAAAAAAACTATAGCACTTTAACAGATCCACAAATGCTAACTGTTTTCCTCGAGTGTGAAAATCAGGTCAACAGTAGCTTCTCTGCTATTTCAGTGTTTCTCTAACAACCGGAATCAATATTTCATATTCAGGTTGTGCAGGTTGTGAATTAATTAGGATGCAGCTTTATTAATGTTAATATTGATTTGTTTAGTGAGAGTAGTATTTCTGGCTTCTCACTCCAACAACAGGTGATCTCAGATGCAAACTGAATCTGTTTTTTTTTTGGAAATGTATTTGTTGCAAATGGTGAAAATATACGTAACGAGATTTGATAAAGGATTTAACAGTTTGGAATGTCAGCGGTGGAAGAGATACTGGATTCAGATTGGATTCTCTAACTGCTGCTCATAGTGACGTCCTATAATCACTTGTGTTGTCTGAACACTTCTCCAAAACCAAAGAGAGTCCACTTCCTACCATGTGACTCTAATGAGCAGCTAATCGTCATATTTGAGAAACCGGAAACGGTAAAAAAGTATTCTACATTTTTGCTTGAAAAATGACTCAAACGATTAATCGATCTTCACAGTTGTCATTTAATTGACTTAAGTTCCTCATTAAAATTCACTCACAAGGTTTCAGTGTATACAGACATGATATTCTCTTTTTTAGGAGAATGACTCATTTGTATGACGCCTGCACACATGAAAAATCAAACGCCATGAAAAAATGCCTCGGTTTCATGCACAGCACCATTAGCATCAGGGAATGTGGAGCATGTGTGAGAGGCGCTAGTGAGAGGGGGGGGGGAAAGGGCTGAGCAGACATCTTCTTCAGGAGGGGACATTAGTTATCCTGATCGGGGGTGTGGGGGGGGTCTTAATGACAATCTCCAGATTCCCTCAGAATATTGCACGGCTAAAATATTAATGATGCTCGTTTTTAAGGCCCCGGGTGATGTGATTGGTGGGCTCACTGTTTAATTTCTATCATTATACCTCTTCTCTGCACACACGCACACACACACACACACACACACAACAGGCATCCCACCCATAGGTGATGTGACAAAGTGTTTTATGCAGAAGCAGTGAATTTCACAAACGGAGCTGCTATAGTTTCTTGTCTGTGGTAGGGGTGGGGTGTCTATGGAGGAGCACTGGAGTATGACTCATTTCTGCAGCAGGATACAATAAGCAGAAGCTGCCACAAGTGAGGATGTATGTTGTTGAACACGAGGCTTTGAAACAGGATCAATCCTGAGCTGTGTATCATGTGTGTGTGTGTGTGTGTGTGTGTGTGTGTGTGTNGTGTGTGTGTGTGTGTGTGTGTGTGTGTGTGTGTGTGTTTGTGTGTGATTATAACAGCAGCTCCCTCTCCACCTGTGCACATTGAATGGATGATGATGTAAATTTAGAAAGGCGGCACGACCGAGTGACGCAAAAGCCTTGCGTTGGTTGTTGTTGTTTGTGCATGTGCTGCTGTGATGGAATGAGGTGGGGTGAGAACAGAGGAGAAGGTGTTGCTGGTGCTTGCTCCAGTGCAGGTCGCCCCTGGTTAGTGGATGGGAAGGGACTCGGTTACAGTCCGTCTGCATTTTACAGCATGTAGCGTACAGAGAGGGAGGGACTGGCAGCAGCAGCAGCATCACCACATTAACCTGAGTGAGTACAAACGACTCGCAGCACCGTCCTAACTCCTCTCCTCATGTCTCGCTTTGTTCCATCTTATCGTTGCCACTCCTTTGTTTCCCTCCGTCTTCACCTCCCTCCCCTCTCTTTTCTTTCTCTCATTCCTTCACTGTTTTACTTTTTGATTGGCATCATCCTGCGCGTACTCTCTGCACTTCCCCACCAAGTCTTGTGATTGATCGGTCTCACACACAGTATTCCCAATCTTGGCTGTGGTATTGCAGCACAGCCACATTGTTAGCGAGTGATTTATTGAATTGTGCACGAGAGGGCTCTGTGCATGTGTCACCCGCTAACATTGAATTATGACCGCACAGTTAATCGAACACTTTTTGAAATTGGATACGTGGAGACTGGATTTCCAAATCGCTCGAGCTTGCAGTTTTTCTTTTTTAGTTTTTTTTTTTCCTCTGAGGGAAAAAGGTGTTTCAGCCTCCTGAATAATATATTCTGCTGTTGTGCAGAATCTCCTTCCTGCAAATCAAGCCAGAGAAATTACTTTTTTCTCCATCAGCATTCACTCCCTGCTTTTTCCTTTACATAACCTTAAAGAAATGTGGTGTGTTTTACATTTTTAATAAACTTATTACAGATCATGCAGTGTCAGCGTTACTACCAACCATTTTAAGGCACAAGTATTTTTTCTGCTTTCCAGGTAAACTTTGTTTTTGGTCATTCTAGCGCCGTGCATCGAGGAATAGCCTTGATCTGTCTGTGGGCTCAGAAAACAAATCGAATGATTCATATTTGCCAAAGAATTGATTTAATTAACTTGGTTGATTCTTTCAGCATTTATGTAGCGCCACCATCAGGTCAGTCAATAAATGTGCTCAGTACTAAATACCTGCAGAAACAATGACTTTCACATCAGCCCCATTGTTGTTAAGGGCTAATTTCCTCCATCATGGGAGTTTATGTTTTCATCCAGGTTTGTTTGTTACGAAAAAACCATTCAGTCAGTTTCCATGAAATTTCGTGGAGGGGTGGGGCCTGACCTCAGGAAGAACCTGTTCAATCTTGGTGCAGATCCAAATAAAGAGTCTGAGCTTGTGAATTTAAATGTGGTTTCATAAGGGGACTGTTTGGCCTTGGCAGAGATGTGCACTCCTCTTAGTGCCACTCTAGCTGTTTAGTGCTAATTAGCAAATGTTAGAGGCTAAACTCAGATGGTATATATAATTCCTTTATTCTCTATATTCTTTATTATTAATATTATCATTAGTTGTTGTATTGTGTTGTTTTTGATGAAATGTTTCTTGTTTATTATGAGGAGCTCTCTTAGTTCATGTAGTTCAGGATTGACAGCAAGTCGTGTTTTCCCGCCATGTCCAATTTAACATCTGGGATCCACATTGTTTAAGCGTATATGTCGTAGCTCTGCAGTGCGAAGACGCCTTTGTGTTTTGTGTTTGTCAGATGGTCAAACATCTTCAGAAAATCTGATCCTTCATCAGCTGCTGTGGACAGTTGAGTCGAATGGATCCAATTTCTAAGCCTTTGTAGGACGGAGACAGAGAAGACAGGAAATGTGGGGAAAAGAATAAGGAAATAACGTGACAGCAAACCGGAGACTCCTCCATTTCATACCATGTGGTCCGAGCCACAACCACTCAGGTTATCGTTGTGATAGCAACTTTTATTATTACCATTTATAACGACTCCAAGTATTTTCTTTAGGGATCATATTCAAAAGTAAAAGCTAGAATTATATCATGGTTTACAAACATCACTGATACAAACTAACTTAATTTACAGCTACTTGAATCAGTATTTTTATTTTACCGAGGCATCAATTGACTGTGTCGAGTGAAAGGAGTCGTTAGTACTGATGAACCTGTGGAGATTTACAGCTGGACGACTGAAGTTTGCCCTCAGCTCAATGGAGCATTTAATTGTCTTTCTCAGAGTTTTAGATTTCTCACCTGCAGCTGTCATGTTTTGATTCACTCTCAGTTCTTCATCAGCTGTTTTCACTCACAACCTCACTAAATGTGTCTGGATATATAGATTCGGACTTTAAGGAAATGTGAATTTGGGTCTGGAGTTTGTATCTCACATGAAGAACGCAGCAGGAGATTGTCCAAGTCAAATTCACAATGACGGGAAATGTCTGGAGCATCCAGGTGAGGGGCTTCAGATCATGAGAAATAGTCCTGCCAGGGAAATTACAATATTTTTATTTTGACAGCACATCAACACCAGCATTGTTCCTTATCAACAAAAGCTCTTGAATCTCTCTATTTTCCAAGTTGACATCTTTGTCTGTGTCTTCCATGTGTATGGCTCCTCTTTTTCATCCAGAGATATTTGCTATTCTCGGGTCTGGCTGGAAAAATTCGGTAAAATCTCCAGAGCGACTGACTTCTGCATTCTTATATACAGCCCCTCCAGAAAATGTCAGGAGAACTTCCAGAATTCAATGCGTGTGTGAAAGCAGCTGTTGTGGTTATATTTTCACCGGTGTTCATTTGTCTGTTGGTTTGTTTTGATTTTAAGCAGCGATGAATCCTGGAATCATTTTCTTCAACACATCAGACAGAGAGATTTCCTTGATTTCCCAGGATCAGGGATCTTGCTAAAAATATATATTTCGTGGACTGATATCTGAGTGTGTGTGTAGTTTGGTGCAGCTTGATTGAATTCAAGAGGCCTGTTGGGACTTGGCAGCCTGAAAAGCTCTGATTGACTGTTTGCCACCTGCTCTGCACTGCAGAACCTTTGTTGTTTCGTGATTTCTGTGGGTTTAACATTCAGCCCATTGTTTTACGACTGGTACATTCTAGCATTTTCATAATATCGAGGATTTGCGTTGAATCTGATCCATGATAGTTGCTTTGAAGTTGCTCTTTGTCTCACTCCACTAACCATGAAATAACACATCTCCAAAGAAAGTTAGAACATTTGACTGTAAATTATCAAACAACTGATCAACGTATGAGTAGAGTTGTGATAATTAGTGCCGATTAGTGCAGATGTCCCCTGTCGTTGTGTCTCTGGACTGAACACTCGGCCCTCTGGAGGACTGGACTCGCTGGATGACACACTTCCCTGCTGGCCCCTCCCTGTGGAGCTGAGGCCATCAGTGTTGCAGTGTGTAAAGAATAATCACAGGAGCAGAATAGGAAGGAACAGAGTTAAATTTAGCCTCCAGACGAGAACATTACTGAGAAAAAAAACACATCCTCAGACCAGACAATAAAGATGCACTGAGACTGCTCCACTCTGCAGTGCAGAACCTGCAACATGCGCAGTTTTCTGCTGGTAACGCTGTGTTTTTGAAGGATTTGACAGGCAGCCATGGGACAGAAGCGTGTGCAGAGCAGAGGTCCACACGCCTCGTGTCCATAACATTAATAATGAATGAAAATCGCAGCTCGGCCTCACGGCTCTCTGTGTTCTAACATAATTAAACAGCCCTCTGACATAACCACCGTATTTATCCCAGCTTGAGTTCCCAGTGAAGAGAGCAGTGAGAAAAAAAACTCAGATTCACGTCTTTATCCGACTCTAGCGCCGTCATCCTAATCAGCCAGGTACGCGACTCTCTCCGCTATCTCTGTGTCTCTGTCTCTCGTGGTCATGGTCCTCCCCCCTCCTCCTCCTCCTCCTCCTCCTCCMCCTCCCTCCTTCCCCCCCACCACACACTTTTTTTTTTCTATCTGCGACGAGGATGGATATCTGGGTCTCACTCCGCTCCTTCATAGCATTTTATTATGTTCTAATCTCATTTTCCCCCTGAGATAGCCCGGCTTTATCTCGTCATATAAACCGTTTATACTCGTCTCTCTCCCGCCTCTCCTGCCATCCGTCAGTCACTCTCTGTCCCTGTAAACATCCTTCTCTTTTCAGGATTTCTTTACAACGATGTTCACCCCCCTATCTATCTATCTCTCTATCTCTCTATCTATCTATCCATCCATCTATCTTGTTCTTCCTCACCCTCCTCTTCTCTCTCGATGCTGCTCTGGTGCAGTGTTGCTTTGCAGAGCTGCTAAAAATCAGATCTAGTTATCTAACATAGACACATACAAAAAAAAAGAAACAAGAGGAGCTGTTCGCTTGCTGCTTCTCCAGTGTTTGAAGCGGTGCCGTAGATAAAGGTTTATTATTTTACACTGTACATATGAATTCTGAAGTGCAAAGAAAGAAAAAGGTGGTGGTTGCTTTTCACGTCCGGCCACAGTTTTTTCTGTATTTCTTGTTGTGCAGCTGCTAATTGGTCCTCCAGAGGATGCGTCTGTATATGTTGGCAAGATGGATGACCAGGACTAAGTCAGTGCACTCCGGAGGACAGGAAAACCAGAGTGAAAACTGTATTATATCTTGTTTTTTTATAATATTTGCTTAAATTTGATTGTGTAATAATGTAATTGTGAATACTGCAGTTAACTGTGAGAGGATTGTCTGAGCTTATCTCGTCTGTTTCAGTCATCACTTCTTTTCACCTTTGTTTCCTGTCACGTCTTCCTCTAATGCCTGACTTGGATTTGTTTTTGCTGCAGCAGCTCTCATCGCTGACAGATTCAGGACTAAGTTCTCTTTGGATATCAGCATAATGGTCGACCATAAAATACAGCTGTATCAGTTTGGTTCTTTATTGATTAAACTCAAGATTTTCTCAATTAATTGATTATTCTCATTGGCTATAAGATGCCCTTAATAATTCTCCACTCTCTACGATGTCATTTTAATCATTAAATGTCTTGTTTTTCAGTTTAACACCCAAACATCTCTACTTTAAGAAGCTAACTAAATCATTTGGGGGATTTTTTCTTCAGTAAAGATTGAAATGATTAAAAATAAAGAGTTGCTGATGAATTTTCAGTTGGTCGACTACCTGATTAACGGATTAATCATTTCAGATCTACACTATATAACACCGATATTCAATAGAAGGATCACAGTCTTCTGAATGAAGGCCAGAGCAGCAGCACCTATTCAGTGATTTTCAGCTTTGACTTTGTGTCTGTGTTTGCTTTATCTTCCACTCTCAGCATTTTGTGCGAGCCATCGCTGGGATGTGTCCTTAAAGCGCTTACAATGAAAAATGATAACCAGCATATATTTTGCTAATGAGGAGATGTCCTTGGAGAATAAACAGGGGAAGAAAGGATGTATATGTGCTGCACTGTGGGGGATGATCGAATGGATTGGGGCCAAGCAGGAGAGAAGAGGAAGCAGTTGCCGCCTTTGTGCTATATTTGGTCTTCCAGAAGATGGCTGGTGTGGGAGAGCAGCGCATTGTGTTGGATATACACACACACACACACACACACATGTTCATGAATACAGAGATGCATTTGCATGCACACCTGCACACAAGCGGACTGCAGACAGGAAGCCAGATGAAAGCAGGGGGATGAACAGCAGATCTATGTATCTCACCTCAGTAACACAACAAGCAAATCATGTTAATACAACCACATGCACCTTTCTCCTGACAGGGGTCGGCTGATTCCTACACCAGTAGACCGTCGGATTCAGACCTGTCAGCAGAGGAGGACCGCGAGGCGTATCGGCGTGAAGCCGAGCGCCAGGCACAGCTGCAGCTCGACAGAGCTAAGGTACATTCTCCTCTGACTCACACCGCGGCATTCAACAGTTTTATAAGTTAGAATATGTGTAGGAGACGTCTCAAGACAAATGTGCTCATCCACTGTTTCAGGAAAACTTAAGTGGTGGAAATAATAAAACAGAAGCAACCTCAGCAAGAACTAAGGAGGATTCCCTGTTTCAGGACAGAAACACAGAGGAGGTTGTGTTTCCAGAAAATTACAACAAACAGTATAAACCAGATTGGCACTCAAGAGAGCGTGTACCTCTGCCAAGGCCTAACAGTTCCCTTAAATCCTGCAGCAAATCTGTCATGTCCGTTTGGGCATAGTTCTAAAACTATTGAAGATGCATATAAAAAGTGTGTCTGTTGAATCCACATTATCTCAGTGACAGATTCTAATTAATTACATTTAGGGGGAAAAAATAGATTTACCATTAAAATTAACTCCTTAAGGTAGAAAAAGGAAAAGAAACAAATATATGAAACAAATCGTGACCAGCAGCACTATGACTGGTGTAATGACTGCAACTGAAGTTATGTCGTAACTGGTGAAGAATTAATTATCAGGCTTTACTCTGAAAGAGTCGATGTGAAAAACACAACCAGATATGTAACATTTTCCAAGTAGTTGTTTTTATCTAAAACACTATTGATCATAATTCACACTCCAAAACCAAGCAAAAATGAAAATATGGTGAAATCTATAAACATACTTTGAAATACTCACAATAACTGGTTGGTTTTATCCAAGAGAATTTGTCATTATTAGATGTAAAAGTCCCAAATGATGGATTGTTTTCCAAGTGATTCTCTTTCTCCTGTCGCTCTTTAAACCCGTGTTTATCATTTTGACAGAGTTAGGGGTTAGTTGATGTTAGTTTATGTTTGTCCTGTATCATTGACCAGTGTCCGTCTCGTTCTAATTTGTCCACAGTCCAAACCTGTAGCGTTTGCAGTAAAGACGAACGTGAGTTACTGTGGAGCTCTGGATGAGGACTGTCCTGTCCAAGGAGCTGCAGTCAATTTTGATGCCAAAGACTTCCTGCACATCAAAGAAGTGAGTGACTGTCACTGATGAGGATGAGCACAAAAGGACACACAACAGACGATATGTGACCCGCTGCTGTTGTTGCATTCACAGAAGTACAACAATGACTGGTGGATCGGTCGGCTCGTCAAAGAGGGAGCGGACATCACCTTCATCCCCAGTCCTCTACGACTGGAGGCCATGAGACTGAAACAGGAGCAGAGACAGAGGTCAGTGGACACGTTTGACGTATGATGTGTTTGTGTTGATATAAATATGATGTGTTTGTGTTGATATAAATATGATGTGTTTGTGTTGTTGCAGGAAAACTGGAGGAAATTCCTCCAGTTTAGGAGACATGGTGACTGGGAGCTGGAGGACCACACCGCCATCTGCAGGTGAATGTGAGTACCACAAATCTGCCTCCTCATCAGAGACCGACCTCTTCTTTCTTTCCCACAACACTGATTAATTTTTTTTTCCAGATGTGTGTGTAGGAATGTGTGTGTGTATGGATTTTATTTAACAATAAAGCTGTCTAATCCTGATTCTGATCCTTGTTTTCACAAGCCAAACAGAAGCAAAAACAGGTAGGTTGTTGCACTTCATCAGGACACAGTCTTTTCTAATGATACACAGATTCTGACTTTAAAGGACAAAGTTCAATTCAGCCCCCTCAAATTATTATGGTTATTATTATTAAAGCTCATGTACTTATTTTGTTGTTATGAGTCACAAAACTTAAATTAAATTAACTTGATGATTTTTCAATTAGTTAATTCACCCATCGATTTTCTACCATTTATCGTGGACCAGCTCAAGATAAATGATGAATTATTAAATCACAATATAAAAATATTTATATTTATCCATATGATATATAGTTTTAGACATTTCTCTGTTGTTCTTGAGAATAAAAAATATGAAACAGATGGATCTGATTTCATTGTTTCGGTTTTTAAAAGGGTCTTTAAAAATCTTCTCTATGCAGAAACCCTGATTATAGATGCAGCTTTTTTCAACAAACAAACCTAACCACTCTTCTCTCCACTGTTCTGTCCGTTTTTATCCCTCTTCCGTTGTCCTCCCCCTATTTCTGGCAGGAACACGTCCCTCCCTACGACGTGGTGCCCTCTATGCGGCCGGTGGTCCTCGTGGGACCATCGCTGAAGGGCTATGAGGTCAGCCTCTCCCCGTTTCACCTCCAGCAGACGGAGAGCGACCGCCTAACACTGTTCAAATTGTCCCTGCACTGCTGCATGTGTTGTTCACACCTGAACCTGTCATTTAAATCAGAATCAACGTAATGGTTTTGTTGTTTGGTTCCTGACGTAGCTTTTTAAACAACGTCTGTCTCATTCTCCACCGAGGTGACGGACATGATGCAGAAAGCCCTTTTCGACTTCCTGAAACACAGATTTGATGGAAGGTCAGTGAAATGGAGGAGGAAAAGCTGCTGTCGTGATGAAAATCAGGCTTTTAGTTAATTTGATGAGAGAGAGTTTGCCTGAATTTTTTTTTAATGTGTATTTCCTGACTTTGTTTGCAGAATCTCAATCACCCGTGTAACTGCTGACCTGTCTTTAGCCAAGAGGTCCGTCCTTAACAAAAGACCCATCATGGAGAGATCCAACACTCGCTCCAGCCTCGGTAAAAGCCGCTACACTCTCCCTGTATCTACGTTTTCTCACTTAAATACCTTCTCACAATGGTTCACAGTTGGCCAGGTTCCCTTTTGTAACAAATTTGATTTATTCAAAATGTTTATTTTCCATCCATTTGAAAAAAATGGCTCATTTGTCTGTTTGTGTTTCCAATCTCACCTGTGTGATTTTTAAATATCTTATGGATGCGATGAGTTTAAACTTGTGTCGTCTCTGTGCAGCCGAGGTTCAGAGTGAGATTGAGAGGATATTCGAACTTGCCAAAACGCTGCAGCTGGTGGTTCTGGACGCCGACACCATCAACCATCCTGCACAGCTCGCCAAAACCTCCCTCGCACCCATCATTGTCTACGTCAAAGTTTCCTCACCAAAGGTACAGCACGTTCCCTCAACAGTGACCGCCTCATCTTTCTATCTGATCTATGTAACGCTCTCTCTCTGTACCGTCCTCTCAGGTGCTCCAGAGGCTGATCAAATCCAGGGGAAAGTCTCAGAGCAAACACCTGAATGTGCAGATGATGGCTTCAGACAAACTCTCTCAGTGTCCTCCTGTGAGTGGAGGGAGCGGGTTGATTTCTGTTCACTGTTGTAAAGCGTGGTCGAATAATTTAAACGAACAGGTCATATTTACAAAGGAGAAAAAGAGGAATTCTTGACCATAAACGTTATTGGGTTAAGACGAGGAGTACGTGGGAAACCAATCGGTTAGGGTGCAGGGAGGACACAGCTTGAGCAGATTTGACTTCTGACCATTTACTGCTTTTCATTCTCCGACTCTCTCATCCTCTTTCCTTCTAAAAAACTACACTTTATAAGATCAAGTGTTTGTACTGGAGCGGTTGTCACTACATTTTTTTGACTGATATGATGCAGCTGGTCAGTTTTTGTCACATATTATGTCTGTTAATACCAAATAAATTAGGTTCTTTGGCCAAATCAAACTCCATTTCAATGCAATATGATGTTTTACTGTATGCAAGTGAAGGAGGTCCATTGTCCAAACCAAGATTTTTACATAACAGAAAAAAAGGTCAGAAATTTAAAATGCACCCTGTATCACTCAGTGTGTTTGAAATCAGCAGAATGAGGTGAGGTTTCTACTGATCATACTTTCGATGAAATGTTTAATTTCTCTTCACTTGTGTCTCGTTATGCACGTGCAGGATATGTTCGATGTCATTTTGGATGAGAACCAGCTGGAAGACGCCTGCGAGCACTTGGCTGAATACCTGGAGATCTACTGGCGCGCCACTCACCTGCCAGGAAACACGCCTCTTAATCCCTTATTGGAGCAGAGTCTGATGACCCCGCCTTCTGCCATCTCTAGCTTGCAGGTGAGTTATCCTCATTTCTTCAAAGAAGCAGTAGAGCGTGATTTACAACTGTAATACTGTTTTAAGAATCCTGTTTTGAACGTGTTGTATGTCACTGTCCTTACCAGCTCTTCCCATCTCCGATTCTGTGTTTTGATTTGTCCCTGGTTGTCTTGTTTGTCCTCTCACTCATCCATGCTTAACATTTTTGCAGTTTTCTGAAACACAGGAATTAATTGAATGATCGCGTACAAACCGGGGTGAGTAGTAGGGTTTATATATTTGCACTCTCGACCCCCAACAGTCCCCTCCTACACACCCACCACCGACACCTGAACACGACCGGCCGCGGCTGAGACGGCGAATGAACAGCATCTTTTATTCATTCAGATCTCACCACAGAAAAGATGGCGTGTGTTTCCTTTCTTGCATCCTGCCTCCTTTCTTTTCGTTGATGGTCTCAGGTGAATCACAGCTGCTCCTCACGCTTCCTGGGAGAAAATTCACAAAGCAGTTGAGCTCGGGCTTTAATTTAACCCCATAATGAAGAACATTATGTTTGGAGTTTGTGTGATAAGTCAAAGTCTCGCTGGTGATTCTTTTTTATTTTCCTTTTCCAAGCATGCTTTGTGAATGGCGGCCCTGCTCACAGTGGCACATTATGCTATCTGGAATGACCGAGCGAATTAATGACATATGATCAGAGCTTAAATAATATATTCTCTGGAAATATATTTATACACAATATCTACACAACAAGAAACTGAGACCATGATGTGCAGTAACATGTTATGTGTGAGAGAAACCCCCTGACCATCCATTCCAAGTGTTTCACTTGCATTTCTTTTGTTGAGTCTGTATTAATGTGTTTACACACGGAGAAAACCCTGCGAACACTTCACTGAAAGGACTTTGAAGAGACACATCCAACACCACTGCATGTCAGGTGTTAACACCGCCACCTAGAGGAGAGACACAAAACGTGGAATTTGCTCAAACGTTGTTTGCATTTAAGTCTTTGTTTCCGTTTTGACAAATCTCAGCAGAATTACAGAAAACATTTAGTTTTGAAGTATCAGCAAAGTTTTCCTGTCAGTTGTAGCCGTCGTGTGCACATCCACAAAACCTCAGTGGTTTAAGTACAATACATACAAAATAAATATATACATTTGCAATAGAAGGTGCATTCACACTCTGGATAAACTGCTCGCAGTATTTATCACAGAACCAATTATTATTCAAACAATTCTGACCTGCTCATATCTATGGGTCACTGGTCTCTGTGATTGTTCCTGCTGGTTGTACTGGTGTAAACGGATCCCACCCAAGAGTGTGAACTTCCCGTTCTGCACAAAACATCAGGAAATTATTAACAATATTCATTATTTATGTAGCTCCTCCCCTGGGGACTGTGCATTACATTGCAAACAAGGTAGGAAAGGTTTTGTTTGCGGCCGGTGTGAACAGTACGAACAATTTCAGTGACCAATACTTTTTCACTGTACATTTGGGAATGTGATTGTTCTAACCAAGATTTGAACCTGCTCTTCAAACTCCTTGTTGATGCAGTGTTGCTTTGTTTTTTCCACCTTCTGTGTCTGTGCTATTAGAAAAAAAAAAAAGCGTGTAGCTTCTTTGAGATGTTGTCGTAGTTCAGGGTTTCATTTGACTCTGTTTTTTTTTTTTTTCCTCCTCCGTGGCTCCTCGAATCCTCCAGAACCAGAACAAGAACCAGCCGCAGCCTCGTGAGGCGGCTGGCCTGGAGGGTGATGAGGAAGAGGCGGGCGAGGAGGCCCACTCCCCTTTGGAGCAGGACAGTCTCATGCCATCCGACGAGGCCAGCGACTCCCTGTCTCGCGGCCGCAGGGGGAGCCCATGCCAAAGGGGGGTGGAGGAGGACGAGGAGGAGGAAGAAGAGGAAGAGGAGGAAGAGGAGGAGAATGAGTATGCCTCCCCCTGCCATGCTCGCACATACAGGGACATGTACCCAGCTCACCGCGGGCACACGGGCAGTGCTCACAGTGCCAACGGGCACGAGGCGCAGGACAGGCTTCTCCAGCGCGAAGCTCAGCAAGGTCACAACCAGAGGAACAACCGCCAGCGCAGCCGCCCCTGGCCCAGAGACACCTACTGAGGAACAAGGCCCCCCCACCCGCTCTCCTCAGCATGGAGATCACCCCGAGCCCTCCGAAGGTCCAAGAGCCCAAACACAACATTTAAAGATGAGGAAAACAAAACAAAACAAAAGTCCAAACTCTTACGTTATAGATGCCCAGTTAATGAAGCGGTTCAGGCGTTTAGTCTTCACATTTCTTCCAGAGTCCCAGTTTTAATTTATCTAAACCGAGCAGATGTCACGACCTCTTCAGGGTCGAGGCATTCCGAGAAAAGTCAACAGGGCTACTCACCTCTGCAAGGGAAAGGTTTCAGGCTACCAGCCGTTACTCAAACTCAAACTTTAGCTGCTTTGCCTAAGGTTTCTCTATCGTACGATGTCTCATATACTGGCCTTAAACTTCCTAAGACTTTTAACTATCTTTACTATTGCATGAGTATAATTATTTTAAGACTATTTGCACACGACGTCAGAACAGGAACTGAATGAAGCTAATGTAGGAATGTTCTACTGTTGAATCATTTTATGAGGAATAGTAATGCATTTGATTCCAATGTATATACTGAATGGCCACCTGCTTTTGTTTCATTGCTACTTTATCTATTGATTTGTTTTGAGTTTGTTAATATTGACTTGTTTGCTGTTTCAGAAAAAAAAACAAATGCTGCCATCACTTTTACTCTGACGGTGAATGGCGTTCAGGAGACTCACGTACAGTTTGTCATTCTGTCCCAATGTGTAAGTATGAAGCTGCGGTACAGTGTCGTGTCACTCGCGGTACCAGTGCGGTCTGGGCATCACTTGTCTTTGCTGTTGCACAATCACTCTCTCTCAACACCTCGAAAAAGCTATAAAAAAAAAACAAAACAAAAAAAAACACGGGCACAGAGAATGTAAACACAACCGAGAAAAGGGAATGTCGCCTTCTACAGGATGAATTATTTGCCAAACTTGCTTGTTTACATCGAGTCATCGACATATTTCAAGCACACGCTGCGCAGCTGCAGCTCCTCTTCAGATCCAGTCTTCAGAGAATGTAAGCTTGCGAGCCTTTTTTGCACCTCCGACCCAAACCGATCGCCCTGTAATTCGATTGTAGCACGTCATTGATTGTAGCATCCACACATAATCTCACCTCTTCCCCCCGATTTCAAACACTCGCGTCACATTTTGCAGTTTTACTGTTTGTTTTTTTAAACCAAGGCAGATCCTCAGGTGTTAGTCCCACACGCTCATCGCTCCAGTTCATGCACAGAACAGGTATCGTGCTCCCGGTGGACTCGTAGCACCCATGGCACAAAGTCACTCTGTTCCTGCACCATTTTAAGTCCATGAGCCGATGAACGAGTTCGGACAGCGAACCTGCTTGTGTTCACATACAGGGTAGATACTTTGCCACAGTCCGCTTTCACTGGTTTACTGCTTCCATGTCTCACAGGTATCGCTATCTAGTGTGCTGTATATTTTGAAGATTAAAAAAAAAAAAGGAAAAAATCAGCATGATTTAAAAACAAAAAGAAGAAAAAAATCTATGCAAGTGTTGCATGAAACCTGATTGTTTCTTTTTACAGTATTTTAGTAATGCATTGATTCTGATTCTCCTCGTTGTCTCGTAGTGATGGTCTTGTCTTTGGGGCTACTCACTCCTCACACCACTAACAACACGACTACTGAAAATCTGAATGCATCCGTTTATTTATCCACAACCCTTAATATTGGGGAACTCCTTTTCCATGACATTGGGTGGACTCACAGTTTCACGCACTTTTAGAAGTCACTCACTAAAACTTGCCCCAGATCTGTGATTTAATTTTTAATTTGTCATTAGAATAATAAAAAAAAAAGAATGATTGAATTATTAAAGCCCAGCAAGTTCACCAATTAGTTCTTTTCACTATGTTTTGGCAGAGTATGTTTTTCAAAGCGGACCAATTTAGCAACTGAAAAGGCAGTTGAGGTTTTTCAATTTACGAAGCACAATTTTTACAAGGGTTATTATTTTGTTTCCTCTGTCTTATTCTGTATGCAATACGAAGCCAAACATTGAGAAACTTTAAACGCCTTAGACCATCTGGACTTCCTCGTTTGTGTGAGTAGAGAAAAAAAAAAGAAAAAAGAATTGCACTACTTTTCTTTGGGGATGGTTGCTTTGTGATGCAATAACTGCACTAAATATAATGATGTATCCACCAGACTAACACAGCGTGCTAGCGTGGCCCAACACGCCTCTTCCCTCTATTTATCAGAAGAGACAGCAGACGTGTAAAAAGTGAGACATTTCCTGCCTGATGCTGTATAGAATGCTTTCTATTTGAAAATAGATTTACAACAATGAGTAAAAATATGACTTCAACAAAATAAACATGACATTTTATGTACTTTTAACTGTTGGGGTCATTTTTTTGTGTCCCACTAACCAACGATCTGAGTTAAGTTTTGTACCAATGGTTTCCAGATGATTTATCCTACAACACATTGTTACTGCAACTGTGAGGTTGATATTAGATCTTAGAGCAATTGTCAGGTGTCTCTATATATAAACACTGAAACAGTCCTCGTGTGTAAAACTGAAAAAGATTATCTGAAATACAAATGACAGATTACAAATTCAGATATTTGAATCTTAATGTCCCTGCATTCATAGTGAATTGAAGCCTTTTCTGTACCAAACTTGCAGATGTTTAGTCTTTTTACAGTAAATCTTTGGATGATGATGAAACAGATTTCACACAAACGTTCTGTATTCACTTCATACAAATGTTTATATTCAAAACATTTTACTACAGTTTAGCCAGCTGATGTATTTGTGAAAATCTCTTAAGTCTTCTCTCTTGGTCTCTTTAACAGGGAACTCAGATTTTGATAATTAGCAAGGCTCAATTTAAAAATGCACAACATAGTCCTCACTATACATCTACTCCCACATCCCCGCTGGCATTTATCACATTTGATAGTAATTGAAGGGCAGTATCTTTACAGCAAACATTATCAGTGTCCTGCTAAGTAATCATGGAGTCACATTCATAACCTTTGAAATGCCCTTGTGCCATCCCAAAACCTCTGCTGTGGATTTCTAAAACCACTTGTGTCATTTTCTGTCCGGGACTGGAATAAAAGACAAAAACAGACACGGGAGGCAAGGTGAGAAACAACTTCAGATATTGGCAAAGTTAACTTGGAGAGAAAATCCCTTGATGTGTAAAGATACAACACGATGAAACAGTCTGAATCGGTACATCAGGCAAAGATGGTTTCCTCGCGTCGCTTCTTGGTCAGGATGGTTCCCGGTTTGTGTTGAGCGTCCGGGTGGTTGGCGAGCTCTGGCGGGCAGTTGGACACTGGGCTCTCGAGGATGGCCTGCTTCAGGTCGTAGAACACAGCCGAGTCCTCTTTGGTGAGGAAAGTCATGGCCACTCCACTCTTACCAGCACGACCCGTACGACCGATACGATGGATGTAGTCTGGAGGAGAAGGAGAATAGAGGTAAGAGTACTTTTTTACAGAGTGAAATACTAACAACAATGGATTCATGGGTATTCAAATGTAATTATTTATACGTATTGACCATTGTTTATCTATTCTTAACGAGAATGAATATCAAATTAAGGTCGAAGGAAAAATAATAGTAAAGAAAGACAATGAGTCCTGAGTAAAAATGAGGCCTCTTACCTTCAATGTTCTTCGCCATGTCGTAGTTAAGGACCATGGAGACGTCGTGGATATCAATACCTCGACCAGCAACGTCTGTGGCCACCAGAATATCTTTGGCTCCGGCCTTGAGATTGGAAAGTGCAAACTCTCTCTGTTCCTGGCCTTTGCCACCATGCAGCGTGCAGGCATTGTACTGTGAGGAGGAGAAAACCATTCAGATTAAATGTTGCTGTATATTTTATCAAATCAATTTCAGTGACAGGGAGTTCAGGGAGCGGTTCTCTGTGGCTGCCTGGACATTTTGATTAAAATCCACCACATGAAAACTAGGCTGAGTCTACAGCTATGCTAAGAGACCTCTGAGGCTGAACGTAAACATACTCACATGAGGCCGTTTAGCAGGATTAGCAACATTTGCTAATTACTACTAAAGAAACTTTAGCTGAAGCTCATGGGAATGTCATTGTTTTTGTAGGTATTTAATTGTAAAATCAAGTATTGGACAAGGTCAAAGCCTTGGGGCTTTGGCCCTAGAGGAAGATTCAAGGGATGTGCAAGGTTACCAGTACTAATTCTCTGGGGACCATTAATAATTGTTAACATTTTAATGACAATCCATCCAGTAGTTGAATTTTTTTTCAGGATAAATATCAAACAACAAAAATGTGATCCAATCCAGTGACTCACCCCCATCTTCTCCAGAGACTTGGCCAGCACGTCGCAACCCTTCTTCTGGTTGACAAAGATGATGATGGGAGGCTCGAAACCATGCGACAACACCTCCAGCAGCTTTTTCCTGCATCACACAAAACAAAATCCAGAAACACTCAGTATGTCACAGATATAAAATGGATGTTTGGTGTTTACAGTTTGCCATCATGTCCAACTCACCTCTTCTCTCCCTCCGACATCAGCAGGACCTTCTGTTCCACTCTCTCGTGAGGTTTGCCAGCAGACCCGATGTAAACCACAGCAGGACGTCTCAAGTAGCTCCTGGCCAGTCTCTCCACAGCCGCAGGCATTGTAGCTGTGAACATGACCGTCTGCAAGGTGCAATCAAATACACAGTTAAAAACCAATGACGTGAGAGCGCTGGGCACCTACAGAAGAGTCCTGTTTATTAACAGATAAACATACTTGTCTGTATTTGTGTTTTCCAGACTCAAAGTTCATCATCATTTTCTCAGGGTCCTCAGCTTCTTCTGTGTCAGGTTTCTGATTTGTCACTGGGATGTACTCTAGAATCTTTTGGACATCGGGCTCGAAACCCATGTCAATCATACGATCGGCCTCATCCAGGACCACGTATGTGCAGCGGCCCAGGACCAGGTAGCGGTTCTCCAGCACGTCGATCAGACGACCAGGAGTGGCGATCACAATCTGATAGATGAGGTAAAAGAACAGAGAGAATAAGTGATTCAGACAGATATTCTTACTTATTACTCCTTTTTGAGATCATGAATCAATGTCTCAGTATAGCTGCAGGCTAAATTTTAAACCCTGTTTTTAAATGTGTATGTGTTTTCACATTTAAACATATACAGAATAACGATAACCATGGATATACTGACAGACAACTAGCGTGTTATTACTTTGATACTAAAGAAAATATCTTTGTGTTAAAGAAGTTTATAAGTTTATTAATTCCTTAGATTATTCACAAAAGTAACTTACTATAACCAACCTTACTGATTTACAGGCTGCATTTTGTGCTCTGGATACAACTTTACACCCTAACTTAAATGATGTTGTTACTGTTTCTTTTCTATTCTTCCAAGAAACACGAGTGTATTTGCTGAATGTTTCACCTCACAGCCCATCCTGAGACGGAAGCCCTGGTCTTCTCTGGAGATTCCTCCAATCACAGCCACTGTACGGATGCCGAGCGGTTTGCCGAACTTTATTGTCTCCTCTTCGATCTGCTGAGCCAGCTCACGAGTCGGGGCCAGGATCACGGCGTAAGGACCCTGGTCTGAGTCTTCAATCCTGCAACAAGCAGAGGAATGTAAATGTGAGTAAAAAAGACATAGAAGCTAAAACAATTTGAGAAGCTCATTAGTGAGTTTATTTGAGTTTATCAGATCATAGGTGGTTTACCTGTCGATTTTCGGCAGGGTGGTAATCCAGACAAGCAGAGGAATCAGGAAAGCAGCTGTTTTACCACTGCCAGTCTCGGCCACACCAATGATGTCACGGTTCTGTAAACCAATAGGAATGGCCTGCCTCTGAATAGGTGTTGGATCCTGGATTTGAGGAGGAAAATGGATCATTAGCGATTAAGTTACTCACCTAAAGATTTTCATCGTATGCTCTGGTTACGGCATACTTTTTTTACAACAAGCAGTTTTCAGTAAATGATGCGATCTGACCTTGTAGCCACATTTGTCGATGACCTCCAGGATATGTGCAGGCAGCGAGTACTCCTTCCAGTTCCTGATGGGGTTCGGGATCTTTCCTCCCTTGGTGGTGATGCTGTAGTCCTCTCTGAAGATTCGCCAGTCTCTGTCCGTCATCTCGTCCAGTTTCTTCTGGGACCAGTGTCTGTCGTCCCAGCGCTGCTTGGCCTCCTTTTTACGCATCTTCTTCAGTCTCACCCTGAACGAAGAAGAAAGGTTGGATAGTTTAGAGATGAAGGTTAAGCAAACTTCACATTTTTAGAATTGAGCTTTCCTCTCAATTTTATTTATTATATACTGCATTATTTTTTTGAGCTGATCACTTCAATGGGTTACTCACTCTTCCTGCTCCTTCTCTTCCAGTGTCCGTCTTTTCTCCATCAGGTCACCATAGAAACGTGACTGCTCTCTTTTCTGCTGCTTCAAGTCAATGCCAGCGATGAAGCCTCGTCCATACAGCTGCACTGAATGCTTTTCTTTGTAACTGGAGGACAGATTGTGTTGTTTAGATATTTTAACAAAACCTTTGATTCAAGAAATAATGTTTTAAACAAGAAACAAGACGTTTACGCTGACTTACATTGGGTTGTAGTCGACTGACGTGTCTTCAGAGGCATCCCACTCAAACACAAATTTCCTGTCATTCAGGTGTCGAGTCCTCCGACGTTTCTTGAGGCCACCCAGGTAACGCTCCTGCAAAAGGTTAGATGTTAACAAAATCAATCAATCCTCTGTTGCTGCCTATCCAGTGGACATTGGCAGCTACACCTTACATTTCAAGTTTTTCAAATTTGCCAACAATATTTGTCTTAGATGATAACTACAAATGTTTTTTGGGATATTTATCTGCCTAAAAACAGTTGCATGTGGAAAAGAATAGAGTTGACAAACCTTGATGGCCTGAAGTTCTTTGCCTTTGTCCTTCTCCTCTCTGAGTTTTTGTCTTCCATCATCTTCTTCATTCCCGTTGTTCTCTCGCTCCATTCGCTCTCTGCGCTCTCGTCTCTCCCTTTCCTGGGGGTCCTCTGTAACAGACAGTCTCATTTATTATCCACATAAAACATCATGCTGGCTGTCTGCAACTGAACAGACCAGAGGCTGATACACACCCATCATTTTTCTCCCAATGTCTTGGAACATCCTCCTCTTCTTCCTCTCATCTTCCACCAACCTCCTTCTCTCCTCTGTCTGTTGCACCCTCCGTTTCAGAGCCTCGGCTTCTCGCTCTGCTTTGGACAGGAACTTGGGCTGAAAAGAAAAAAATGTAAAAAATAAGCAAAGAAAAACAATCTAGGGTCAAAAAAAGGAGGGGGGGAGTATTCTTTGTGAAACTTCTCACCTTTGCCTCTGCCTCCTCTTCTGCCTTTTTTTTGGCCAGAAGCTCTTCTAACGACAGAGGCTGGGCCTGAGCAGAAGAGACAAATATTAAAAACTCAAACAATCCCAGAAACAATGTAATTCTACGAAAGATTCATTCTAATCAAATTCATACCTTCTCTTTCTTGTTTTTTTCATCTTCCTCCTCTTCTGTTTTTATATCCTTCTCTCTCTTTAACTTTGAATCCTTTGACTTTGGTGAGAGACTCCTTTGAAAGGAGACAGACACATTTTACAGGTGTAATCAAAACCTTTTACAACCTGGAAATTGATTTGAAGGTTGTGTCCAGGTTGGAAATGTCAATGAACATAAAGTTGTTTGACATCTGTAGGCAATGTCACAGAGTAAAGCTGTTACATTAAAGCAAATTCTCTCTTTTTATTTAGCTCAAAGAAAGTGACTCAGTAATTACATGACATCTTATATGTCTCCATTTCATAGAGTTGTATTTTCCCAGCATTCACATACCTGGACCTCTTGCTACGATCTTTATCACGTCGATGGCCATCTCTTTCCTTGCGGCCCCTCTCTCTGTCCTTATCTCTGTCTCTTTCTCTGTCCTTGTCTTTCATGCGACGGTCTCTGTCACAATGAAACATCAGTCTGTTAGGATTCAGGAGACTTTAATATCTGAGCTTGAGTTAGTGTTAGAAATGAGTTTTTAAGTTACCTCTCTGCAGATTTGGAGCGATTTCTTTCACGAGACCGTTGGCGTTTACGCTCTCTGTCTCGTGAACGGCTGCGTTTCCTCTCTCTGTCTTTGGTCCCTGAGGATTCCGCCTCTTTCCTGTCGGCGGAGTCAGCTGCCATCTGGAAAGACAGATTAAATTAAATTATGGATTTTTGTACTTTTTTGTTGTAGTACACTAGTCGTAATTACTATATTCAGCTTCCTTTAAATGGACATGAGATGTTGAATGTGTACAAAATTATGGAAACTCAAGAAAGTTGTAAAACAAAGCAAATATGTGCAAAAAAAGAACTGATAAACTAAAGGTTGATTACTTTCTGGCTTAATGTAGTTTAGCCTGGTTAACATTCGGTTTTAAGATGAATGTTGTCCAATGCAATGTGGACAACTCAATACACCATGTTTAAAACATATTTACACTGTGGGTGGATGCTCTATTACCACACACACTGCTTAAACGCCACCACGGAGTTAAAGGTTGATCAGCTTCTTATGTAAAAGTTAAATAAATAAGGCATTTCCCGAACAAGACGTGGTTAACTAAATCAAATAAAGTAACTCAGCCTGTGCAGAATTAATGCAGTGAATATCGTGAACAAGCTAGCTCCAGCAGTTAGCTAACAACTTAGCAAGAAAGCTAATCACATTCAATAAACAGCGACTTGTAAAACCCTCCGCGGAGTCAAATGTTTGCAGGTTATAAAACCCAGAAGGTTAACGCGTCGTTCACAACATTAAAACTCACATTTTCCCGCTTGTCAACAAACTATTTGCGATTTATCAACGCTTCAAGCAGACGCCATATCTCCCGACACGAGCTGAAGCGAGCAAGGGGTTGTGGGAGTTGAAGTGTATGGAGTTCGAGGCAGGGTGGAGAAGACGCGGGAGGAAACCGGAATTCAAACTACAATTCCCTGCAATGCGGGCGGATCCTCTCAGGGCCTCGCTTGTTTGGCACACGGACACCTAAACGCCTGAACAAAAATAAAATAATTTTCTATCTCGAGCACAAGGTGGCGACAGCGTCACGAGCAAACACGAAGTGACGCCATGAACAAGGTTTCCCTGTTTCACCACGTGAAACCAGGTAAAAGATCAGACGCCACTCTACGTACATTTGTTAAATCCTGATTTGACTGACGTAGAGAAGTTAAATGTTTTTGGAAATACAGTTTCACGTGTCAGACATTTGTTCTGCTTGTGGGGGAGGGGGAAACATTTAACTTCAGACCTGTTCTAATCAAAATCACAATAGTGTGTATAGATAAAGGTTTTACAAATCTGAAACTGTGGGTTAATCTTGCCCGGGATAAATTATATAAATGGTGTGTTGATACCAATCCTGCCCATGTAATGCAGTTTATTTATTTTCCCAGCCAAACCCAAAGAAGATTTCAAGTTTCAACAACGAAAATCGAATTGATGTAAAATGGAAAAAGGTCCACATTGAGGAACCAGCTGCAACTAACGTCAGTGCAACCTTCACCGGTGAGACTCCGTTCTTTTATTTTTTAAATATTTATTTTGTCTGCCTTCACAGTGAATGTTGTGTGGCTTCATTTTTCAAGGTAATTCACTGTGACTTCTGATATGGGTGATATGGCACTTTCTGTTCCTGCTCACCACTGCTGCAACCGAGTTTATGTTAAGTATCACGAAAGCTTCAATGTGTATTGCAATGGGATATTTTAAATGCAATCATAAGATAGAGTAGATAAGAAACACCATGTAAAGATTAAGAAGGCAAAATTATAATTAAATTAAAAACCTATGGGGTATCAAGGATTATCAATACAGGGAAAATGTCTGTCTGAGTTCATTTAGTGAAACAATTTATATTGATGGGAATGAAAGACGCCTCCTGAATCTATATAATTCAGTGGGACAGTCTCTTATCAGTCTGTTGTTTGCCACAGATTATAAAGTGCAGCCATGATGAAACAGGTCTGTCTGCTTAGTAGCTACCACTTAAAACACAAAGCCTCTGCAGCATATTAACATTCAGGAAGTGCAGACACCAAACCTTGTTTTCCCTGTAATCTAAACCATCCTCTGGTGTCTGTGTGAGCGTACATGCTCCCGCAAACAGATGAAAGACGTTTCAGATGATGCCTTGCTCCACTACGGTCCAGACGGGCTAGATGCTTGTTCATATTCTGGACCTGCCTCTTCATCCTGAGAGAGATCAAGAGAGATTTATGGAGCCCTTGTGAAGGTGAAGCGCTTTCAGTACGAACAGATCAAAGTTGATGGGATGAAGAAATAAATGCACACACAAAGGGGGAAAGATAGTGAGGATGAAAACAATGAACTGGTGAGATAAAAGCCAGAGTTTGTATTTAATGTACTGAACTGTGGCTAGGGTTTGACAAACACTAGCCTGACAAACACCATTTGACTTTGTGAAATACATGAAATGGATTAAAAAGGAAACATTTCTTTTTCAACCACCAACAATAATGAGTGAGCTCTATATGTGCTGGTATTTGGATGTATTTATACCTTTGCACAACTGTTCCTTCTCACCTAACCATTTTTTTCAATATATCATACAATTACTTTACAGTACATGGATTACATAGACATTGAGCAGTATAAGTACAACAAAATAAATGAAAATGTTGAATGAACAGGAAAAACAGCCTTTATTTAAATTTGGGAGTGTTCACACGTTACTTCATTTAACTAGTTATTCGTGTTTTGGTGAGTTCAGTGACCGTGAGGAAAAAATAGTATTTGAAGACACTATAGAGCACATACCTCCACCAGACAGATGTCAGTCATCTAAATTTGCCTGATGTTTTTTCATCAAGAACCATCAAAATGTTATAATGTTATAGAAAGTGAGAAAAAAAAAACATCCTGGATCCGCTCCCTGATCCAAATCCACATTAAAGTGGAGTGGAGTTCTTCCCTGACCCGTACTACATCCCCTAATGAAGTTTCATGTTAATCTGTCTCATAGTTTTTGTATAATACTTTCAAACAAACAGACTGGGGTGAGAAAGCAACCTGCTTGGCGGTAATTACATTTCTTTAATACCATATGAGTCTCCAACTTTCTACAAGTTTTATTTGTGTCACAGCTAATGTTAATGATTCGGAAGCTTGACTGACTTCAGCTAACGTTGTGTAATGTTGACTATTACCTAATTCTGATCACTAACAGCTGACCATTGATTACTGTTAGGCTTTGAGTGAGCAAGGAGATCAATTTCACAGGGTTGACAAACAGTGTGGCTTAGGGTCAATTCTTTCGCTCTCAATACTTTTGATTTTAAGATATAATCTGGAATACACACCACTGATTAGGAAATATTTAGTTAGTCATGCTGTAGAAACAGACTTTAGCTGGAACCACATGATTAGGTGGCACAGATACAGTTGCTTTTAGCTGTTCTCCAGATGTGCACATCACATCTCCAGTTGTAACCCTCTCCCCCAGCTCATAACAACAGTCAACCCCCATCCCGAGCACCTCATGCGCCCCTGCCTCGACTCCCATCCCAGCACATTTCCCCATGTCTGGCGTGGATGTCTAATTAAGCAGCCAGAAGAGCACTCACTCTTGACATGCCCCCAGGCTGTGCCAAATGGCCCACGTGGGCAGGAAGTGGGGGTTAGGTGTGGTGATGGGGAACAATGTGCATAAACAGGGATTTTTGGGGAGAGTCATAATTCAGGGGTATGAGGGGAGGCAGACCAGGGGAGTCGATTTCCCTCCGGTAGGGACACACAGGGTCTTATCTTTCCTGCAGACCCGTGCGGAGCACCGGGCTGTGTGGACATGGCTCACCTCACTGCACTTGGGAGGAAGGAGAAAATATGCAGAGCAGACATGATAAACTGCTTAGTATACACAGCACACACTGACACACATTCATACACCAGTTCACATGTACATCATAATGCATGGATGCCAATAGCTGCAAACACAGTGCTCACAGTCACACAAAGAGACAATGGAAACACACTGACAAAGAATAACATGATGTACAGCAGCAGATGCTTTAACTGAATGAATACTAAACTACGTTTCTAGCATATTATGCACAATATGCTAATACAGCTTATTATAGTTAATATTAATGTGAGCCAGTCCTCAGGGTTCAGGGCTATAGGAAGGCTGTGCTCTGCTGTCTGGTGATGTTTGTGTGCCTCATTGAGTCGCCCAAAGCACACAGACCATCACAGGCTGCGAGCTGCCCTGCCCCTCAACCTGTCACATCACAGCAGCTTTGGGCTGAACAGTCAGACACAGAGCGACGGACTGATTGAACAAGACGTCACTTCAATAAGTCCAGTACGATTCGAGAAAATCAGCTTTTATTCTTATTTTTCTGCCAATGTTGGCTGCTGTATTCCATTCTTTTGTCCAGGAGAGGGCTGACGGAGTGATCCATCATAATATGATTATACATTGACAGCTTTTATTTGAAAATACTAATAGGCTGTTAAAAGGAACAGTTTGACATTTTGGGAAATATGCTAATTTGTTTTCCTGCTGAGAATTAGATGAGAAGATCAATACCACTCTCATAACTGTCCAAATGAACAATCAAGATGTATGGTTGGTCATCAATGAGCTATATGTGCTGCTTTTTGACAGAGCCAGGCTTGCTGTTTCCACTCATAACGCTAGGCTAAGCTAACGGGCTGCTGGTTGAAGAGTTATTAACCACACAGAAATCAGTCTCATGTAGATCTTCTCATCTCCAACATTTCTTAACAGTACATGGATTATATAGACAAACAGTAGTACAAAAACATTTATAATTAGAATTACCATCCTGTGGTTATATGCCTCTGTCAAACTGTGCAGTATCAGTTTAAACAAAAGACTGTACATAAAGAGGTCTACACACATTTTGTTATCCAGACCAGTATGAGGTCACTGTCACCTTTGACCTTCGACCACTGAAATGTAACCAGGTCACCTTTGAGTCCACATGAAAACTGATCACAATTTGACAAAATTCCATAAAGGCAGACTCTAGATCTCATGTTGGAGAGGCAGAAAACAGGTTTTGTGAGACCACTGTGACTTTGACCTTTGACCCTCCTACATCAAAACATCTACTCAGTTCTTCTTTGAGTCCAAGTTAACCTTCGTACCAAATTTGAAAGACTTCTCTCAGTCTGTTTTTAAGATAACATGTTCACAAGAAAAAGGGGTTTGTGACGTCCCAGTGATCTTGGCCTTTGACCTTTGACCACTAAAATCAAATCACTTCTTCTTTGAGACCAAGTGCACATTTGTGCCCAAGTACAGAATATATTGAGGAGCTAGAGTCTTCTGTTTGATATGCATGGGCCAGCCCCTCCTCTTTTTCCATTCTTCTAATTGGAAAGAAACAAAGAAACGTTACATGGCGATCAAAAGTCTGTCTCCTCTTCCTTATGGTCAGACTTTGGGATAATCACATCATTCAGGGCCATTGCAGCGGCATGCACCTTCTCAAACTCCACTGGGTTCTTGATCGTGCTCGTCATGACTTCCAGTGTCTACAGCAGTAATGACATCGTACAGCCTGTCATAGCGACCATGTCCTCTGGAGTGAAGCGTGGAGAGTCAGACGACCATATGGGACATTCTTTCCCCTGCACATCACCCAGCTGAGCCTTTGACATACAACCCAATTTTCCATTAAGGGACAGGAGTTATGACACTGTCAGAGCAGCTGTGGCAAAGCTCGCTGTTATAGTGTGTGTGTGTGTGTGTGTGTGTGTGTGTGTGTGTGTGTGCGTGTGCGTGTGTGCGTGCGCGTGCGTGCGTGTGTTCAGGCATTTGGGGGAATATAACCTATACGTCAGTCTGCAGATAGCTCATCAGTAACCAGGCAGCATACTGTAGCTCATCCTCTCATGAGCCAGTTTTCCTCCTGCTCTGCTCCTGCAGCGGTGGAGAGGTCTGATAGGTTGGCTGAACGAATGTGTGTGAGAGACTGCATCATATGTGCCTGTTTTCATGTGTGTCAGGGTTGCCATGTCTGATAGATGATTCGCTTATGTGGTAATGAGCCCTGCTGCTCTGTGACCATTTTTTTCTGACTCCCCATTACGGGTTTCAGATGCCACAACTTGCTCATCCGAAATCATCCTTCCCCCAAATCCTGATCCTCTACTGCTGCAGGCACCATCCATCCAGGGAGGAAGGGACAAACGTCTAGACTGCACAGATCACTTGATTCTGACCTGTGCATTAGTCTACATCCAACATGTCAGTAACACACGTGTCAATGTTGGCCTGTATGTATGGAGGGCCACAATTGTATTTTGTCAATTTATTTATGGATCTATAAATCAATTTGTAAACAAATGTATTCATACATATGTTTTATTGTACAATTATTTATTAAATGATGAAATGCCTTATTGCTATTTCCATGACACTTGTGGTTTTCCATAGACCTATACATCTATTAGTATTCAATGTATGAATAAAGTAGCTGCTTAAAGTATTTTCTGTGATTATTAAGCCAGTGAGTATCACTGGCTTAGCATAAAGACTGGAAAGGGGTTATCACTTGAATGACTGTCCCGGCCAAGAATATTTTTTCTTACAATAAGCAAAGTTGACCAGCTGAGGATATTAAATATGATTCGATCTTCTCATGTCTTACATATTTATTTCAAAACCAGCACAAAAAGCCTCATCCAAAAAAGTGGGGTCTTCTTTAGAAAACTATGTCTGGGCCTCAGTTCCACATCCCAGACACAGTGTAATCGTGCCTCGGAGCAAACTACCGTGGATGACAGGCTCAATGTGCCTTCATCAGAGGTTTATCTGATTTGCAGAGACATGCAATGTACATGGGCCAATTCTAGATAAATGTGTGCAAGAGAGACGGGGAGACAGAGAAACTGGAGAAAGATAAGAAATGGGAGAAGTGTAGACACACAGGCCGGCAGCCCGCTTTATCCAAAAGACCATCAAACTACTATTCCATTTCTGGCTACAGAAAATCAATGTTGGAGTCGACAAGAGACTAAATTTATCTTAGACCGGTGATGCAGAGCTTATTCTGACAATTTCCTCCTCTCCTGTTGCACAAAAGAAATTGATAAAGAGGTCATGAGGCACTGCTGTATCCTGTGTGTGATAGTTCAGGAATGGCAAACATTCAGCCACTTTATCCACATCATATCATCACTGAGCAGGGGTACATAGCCAAGGAGTTCTTGATAAGAGTCGATATCAGTCAAGTAAAAGACTAAGCAAATATGATCATGGAGGTCGGGAAGGATGGTTGGTTACATAAGGAACGGAAGGAGAAGAGACAGTAGTGGCAGTGGAGTTAAGTTTTTAATTTTATTGATGGAATATTTTGTTCTTCTTCTAAATTACTTGACTTTATCCATTGTGGCCTTAACCACACGTGAGCCCTATAGCACAAATATGTGTGGGCAGATTGATCCACACAGTATCAATGACATGAAGTCTCGTTTTGATTATCAATAGAATCCTGGACATGCAAACTCTCTTCTTAATGCAGCCCCATTGACATCTCTGCTGTTGCTGTGTACTATGACGACCTGTTAAGTTCAGAGAAAATGCATTTTATTTCATATTAAAAACTTTACAGTCTTTATTTTATTCCTATTTTGTTTATTTAGAACATGACATAAGTCTATTTTAGGGGGAAAGACTGTAGCGGAAATCTTTCTTTGAGTATCTTTAAAAGACAAAATAACAACTTAACAGGTTAAAAGTTGGTCAGGGAAACCACCATCTGCTTATAAGCTAGCTAACTGATACTTGCTTGGCAACATATGTTTAATAGCTTGTTAATGTAAGATGTATCATTTAACTATCAACATGTGGGGACACTTGGTAACAAATTTGTTTCATAATGATGTAAACTGAGAAAAATGTATACAATTACAAAACTTTGGGCAAATAGACAAATGCCCGACTAACAGGGAAACTCTGATAGTTTAGCTTGATCGGATATATCTATCATACACTAAATCTGAATATTGCCTGTAACACCCCCTCCCTGTATCCGTGTAAAGATACAGCAGAGTAACAAAGACTTGCCAGTTGAGTTTATTTTGGTTAGTGTGTTATTTTTGGCATTTTTGTTTTGACACCATATTGTGAAGCTGCCACCGTCATCAAACTGTAGGTCACACAGTCCTCAGAGACTGCATCAAAAAAAAGTTCCTCTGATGTGCAGAAAAAGCATTTCAGTCTTATTTATTCAGTTTTGGAGAGCTATAGTTAATGACCCTCAGGAATTAGGTTAAATCAATCAGCCTTTCTGTTAGACGCAATATGTTATCTGTATCTTGGCCTTACTGAACTACTGTGCCCATGGCCTGGGAACAGTCTATATTATCATTATTTCTCAAGACAAAATAGACAACATGGTGCGAAGCTATCAGTTTTTGATTCTCTCAAGGAGGTTTGAATTTGATTTAATTACCCAAATAACCATTTGTTCTAATTTGATAAAACCCCTGAAACTGAGAGATGCAGCCTGGTGTTGTCTCATGACTGAAGAAAATACAAACATGTTGAAAAGCAAAATTAAAATGGTATAAGACAAAGTTGTCTTTCCAAACGATGGATATGTTTCATTAAAAGTGTTAAATATTCCATGTGTTCCAAGTTCTTTTAGCAATCCTCCATGTCTTCATCAAAAATAACACTGATTTGCAAATGAACATCAGACATATTTATTTAAATAAAGATTTAAAGATGAAAATGATGTACGACAATAACAAATACAGAATTCAGTCAATGATTTAAGCCTTAACAGGCAACTTGACAAAAACATTTGTTTTGCTCCAGTAACATTCTTTCCCGTGGATTTCAGAAAAAGGATATGTACAAAAAATCATCAACAAAATGAGCAAGAGAGAAACTGTAAAATTCAGGACATGTGCAGGTCTCGCAAAGTCTTAAAAAGCATTGAATTTATTTACTCAAAACATTAAAGATAATTAAATATATTAAAAAAATCATAAATCTTGTCTTATGGCAGCTGTAGTCAGCAGTGACTGTTAGTTATCAGTTACAGACCTGTAAACCAAAATGACATTTAAAGACAATGGTCTGTGCAGCAGGAGGCTGTTAGAACACACTTTTAGCTACAGTAGTGAGGAAGATCATCAGCTCAGAGACTTTTACAACAACTTTCGATCATTTTTCATTTACTATTCAATCCATTAATTTTCTGTTCCTTACCAGGTCACAAATCATATTAATAGTATTAATTCTACCATTATATATTTTTCTGGGACGAACAGGAAAATAAAGCGACATATTATCTATCAATTCGAGTCTATATCTTTTCTGTCAGCGATTATTCCTTCATACTTTTATTGGTATGAAAAAAGTATTACATTTAATTATGTGTGGTTTTAAGAATCTTGTTATGTATCGAACCCTGAAATGCTAAATGTAAATTGATGTTGAGGATAACACGATTCTCTGGACAGAGCAAGGGAAATAATGTTTTGGATGACCTGCTTTTTCCAACAACCCACTCACGTTGCTACCAGTGTGGGGTATTTAAAACCTCACCTTCGCTGTGGCTCTTCTGTCTAATGCTACAAGGTGAGGCGCCCTCTCAGAGAGCCATCCCTCCCTCTCTCTGGGAGACAGGAGTCCTGCTCGCACTGTTGCTAGGCAACACATTAAATTCCAATGTGCTGTACATCCAGAGAAGTCCGGGTTTCTCGGTGCAGACCTACAAATCATCAAGTCCTCCATTAGCTGAGCTGTCAACAGCCACTAATGCCAGAAGACTCAAGCGAATACAAGAACAACATCAACAGCTACAAATCCATTGAAGACAGCCACAAGCAAGAGGAAGCATCCAGAAAAAAAGCTGTTGTAAATGGAAAATGTCAGGAATACTTTGCAGGGAAGTTGAGAGATGTAATCAAAAATATTTTAAAGCATAGAAAGAAAGAAAAGGAAGACGGAAAGAAAAAACCTTAAGACAGGACCGGCCTGTAGTTCAATGTAAAACCCATCCTGTCAGCTCAGGGACATTTTGGGTGTTGATGCAGATGTGGTTGGAATTAGATTTTAAGCCCCTGGAGAAGTTGGTAATACCCAGAATGGTATAACGCTGTACACAATGTGCTTGTGGAGTGATGGCAGAGCCGGTGTTGTGTCAGAGTCTGTTCCCCTTCACATAATCATTCACTATTGTTAACACTGTGTTTCTTGTAGCACCCTCCTCAGTTAGATCTTTGGTATGGTTTGGCAAGTCAACTAGTTAGGATTATGGTAAGATTGGGGTCAAGTTAAGTATCTACTATGGCTGGGATTAGAGATTTAGATAAAGTTAGTATTTGTTGACAGGTGCAGTCTCTCAGTGACACCAGCCAATCTTGCAAAGAAAACACAAGAACTGATATTCAGGTGTAAATTGTGGTAAATATGTGAGAGTTTAGGTTTCAACAAAGACGTTAAGTTGTTGATTACAATATTTACGGTCCAATGACAGACTGAAGTCAGGGGATTTAGTCTTAGTCATATTCACCCTCGTTCTGTCAGTTTCCGGTCACTGAATCGTTCCAATCTGCACAGTTGGGTCCGACTCCAAGTCCTTGGAATCTAAAGCCAACAATGCATCAAGGCTGAAATTGGTTGCAAGAGCATCTATATTAACTGTTAATGAACTCCACCAATTTTACACATCAGAGCCTGACATGTTTTCCAGTCTTGGGGAATACTACTACTACGAACAGCATGTCAAAAAAACCCTATCAGACCTCTGTAGCCATCTTCGCCTGAAGCTAGCAGCTCGAAGCTACATTAGCCACTACTAGCATCATTTCTATAAACAGATCCTGAATATCCCATGTGAATATGTGTGCAAAAAGAAATGAGTTGGAGTGCTCAGAGTTTTGGGTGAATAGAAGATCAAGTCTTGGCCCAAATATCTGCTGTCTACACTGGAGGCCCCAAAATATTGGCCATTGTAAGCAGAGGATAATTTGTTATTCGTCGATAGCCAATGGGCTCTGAGATTGCTACAAGGATGACACACCCAAAGTAATGAAGGTGCCAAGTTTTGCAAAAGAACAATGTGTGAAGCAGAGAAGATGATTACTCAGGTTGAGCAGCATCAGCACCTGGAGTTTGTTGAAGCATGGTGAGCACATAGACACAGAGAGTCCGAATTTACAGACTATTACTCTTTAAATATCTATGAGGCAGCATATTCAAACAAATAACTTTTATGGTAGATTAAAATAAACCCACCTCAGTTTGACTTGTATAAAAGAAACAATTGTTTTATCTTTTAAAGACTGTGAAATGTTGATTTAGTTCTTTGCGGGAACATGTATTAAAAACTGATATCCATTAAGCTGCTAAAGCTGGAGGGAGTAGTTAGATGACGCATCATTGATGCAACATCACTAAAATCAAAACTTATTGTTAATAACACTGAACAATTAAGCCTGCTGTGGTGATGGGGGATCTGATAAAACATGTTCATGGCCCAGATTCTGTTTGCTTTTGTCACAGCACGTCCACTCGACGCTGTTTAGTGGCTCATGTGAATGTGAAGTCACGTTGCTCCTTCAGATGTGCTCGCAGGTCGTACTCCCATCACAAGTGAAAACTCTGCTTGCCAAATCCCTCCCGTCTCTCTACCACTCTTTCCCCACTGTCAGCTTTAGTTCCAGAACGAAACACTGCAAGCTTTTCGGCTGGGCCTCTGTTTAAAATTACGCAGCCCGCTTCTATCCTGCAATGTCAGATTTTACATTTCATCCAGTCACTCAGCCCATGTTCTGACCTTAAGGAGACATTCAGATGAAAAGATGGATGGGAAAGGGCTCCACTCTCAGAATTTCAAATGGGTCTCATCAGGGTAATGCAGTGTTTACAACCACTTCCCCCAGAGAAAAGAGGAGGCACTGAACTTATTTGAGCTGACTCCATCACGGCAACCTTTAAGTGAGGAGAACAGCTCTGCACCTTCAAGTGCCTAATCTTTGTTCAAGATTATCTAATTTGATCAGAAATATTTTCAACATCAAACATTTTTCACTCTGTCTCTGTGCTGACTGCTGGTGACAGGTCATGGTGAGAAAACTCAGTGTCAGAGTTGAATATAGAGAGTGTAGCGATGGTTTTGAAGTTGTTGAGGGAGTTTGGGCTGCAAAGGAGAGAGAGGGGCTTTGTAGAAATCCACATCGTTGCTCTCTCTCCCTTGCACACCCTGCATCCTTTGCTGAACCAGCTACAGTATACAGTAGTCTGCTTGTCCTTGCTTTATGAGCATGATCCCAGCAGTTTTCACATGATGGAGCAACTCTTGGACTTGTCCTTGCTGAAGGTGGAGGAGAGCAGGTCTGTCTTGCTGGGCAGGTGGAGCAGTCTCTTGGATAGGCGGCGGACGGGGCTGGGTTTACTGGCAGGCTTGAGTTTGTTCATGCACGCCTGAGCTGCGGTACGGAAAACACTGTGGATGCTCTTCTCTGACGTGAAGGCCGAGCACTCCAGGTAAGCCTCTGCTCCGAGCTGCTTGGCCAAGGACGAGCCCTATGTTGTGAGGGGGAAAATATAGGAATGTGAAATTAATGAGTGCGAGCTGGACTAGATGAAGGTACCAGGAGACAGATATCTAGATACATACTCTATGGGAGAAAGGGTAGTCATGGAACAAACCTGTTCATGGGAGATGGGACTCTGTTTCTGATTGGACAGCTCCATGCGTGTGCACACGTCCGTGCGCAGGTCTGTCTTACAGCCTATTAGCAGGATCCGTGTGCTCGGGCAGAAGTCCTGGATCTCTGCTTTCCACTTTTCAAATAAATAAAAAAAAGAGACATCACCAGACTGTCACTGGAAAATGTGAAATACAAAGATCATATATTGAGGAGCACACATCACTGATCGAGGAGGCTGCCACCTTCAGATAACTTCATGGAGACGTAGTCTTAAATAAAGATGTAACACTGCAGTGTTGTTATTCTGTGGCTTTCACATAACAGATGTACATACCTTCTTCAAGGCACCGTCGACTGTGTCAGGTCGGCTGATGTCAAAGCACAAGAGCACAGCATCTGAGTCACTGTAACACAGGGGTCTGACGTTGTCGTAGTATGGAGAACCTGAAAGGACATATCCGATAAAGAGGTAAGTTTGTGTTTTTTTAGAAAGATGAAAGAAATGTCTCCATTTTCCTGTTGTCATGAAGAAAATATAGAATCAGCGTCTCTTTCATACATCGCAAACACATTCAGACCTGCCAAACCAAATGTTAATAAAGATGGACACCATGACTGCTCCCCAAAAGGTAAGATATCTCGATCGCTAGAAATGTGTGTGAAACGTCCTGATTGACAGCTGAGATTGACTTTTGTTTGGTCCAGCCCAAGATGGCAGCCTTTTTAGCTTAATTTTTCATGTTATCATCTGTTTGAATTACATCTTGATTATAAGCCATCAAATTGTTGGATGTTCACCAATATTTGATTGCAGTTGCATGAGTTTTGTGAAGCCTGCTGCAATCAAACAAATTAGAGAAAAGGGTTCAGCACGTTTTTAATGTTGGCCTCCTCCATTCATAGCTGCAGTATTGAAGGTGTCAGTATGTTCTTACTTCTTAGACATAAACAATTAAAACCTGACATATCTTTATATTCCCATGCCTTGATAAACCAGTGGTTTATCTTTTTCATCCACCATTTGCACAACAGAGGCACTATTCCGCTGTTCCTCTGCATGATAAATTTCACTCAGACACTCTACCCTAATATAATAAATATGACACCTTAGTGATGAGAATGTGAATCATGGTGTGAAGGCAATTTCCATCTATGCAGTATTGTGAAAGGTTTCTAACTCTCAGGAAGATTTGGGTGCTAAAAACAGACTGACAGGATGTCCGCTCTCTATTGTTTCCCTCTGCCACCTAATCACTCCCCCCACACACCAACACTAAGATTTAATTTCCTGCTCCTGTCCTCAGGGGCCAAATGTGCACCAGAAGCATTCCTCGCAAATAAAAGACAATATAATTATACCAGGAATAGATACTTCTAATAAGCCTCAACCGGAATTAACTAACAATCATGTTATCTTGATGAGTCTGGCTCTGGAGACAGTTATGATTGCGTTTTTTTACTTTAATATCATGGCCAAGTGAACCGAGCCCTTCTAGTTTATGCACTCTTTGACTTAACTCTGCAAAGTAGGACAACTTATACAACTAAAATCTATCAATAACTTTTCTTTTAGTTGGAATCAAAGCAGCCGTCACATAACTGTCCAAGGTGATGTAAGGCTGGGGAAAGAGGAGGCAGAGAGATTTGAAGAGCACACAACTTCTGCACCTACCAACGCCCACACATCAGCAGCCCCCTGCCTGGACACACAAACACACACACAGATATGCACGTACACACAACCCGTACAGTTGAGCAAACATTAGCTGAAGGAGTACGGGTGGGCGATCAAATTTATATTGAGATCATTCTTGAAGACGTCCACGTTTCAAGAGAATTGTAAAGATCGTGACATTTAATAACATTTATAGTAGAGATGTTCCAATACCAGCATCAGAAATGCCTTTGATACTGCCGAAGATGCCAGGTCGGGCACTGGCGAGAACCCTGATCTATGTCTATGTCATCTTTAAAGTACATTAGTTCCACTCAGACAAAACTGCAATTTTCCTTTCCTGGAAATCGCTTCTTTTTCACCGCTCCAAAACGACAGTTGCGCTATAATGTCACTGGCAAGTTCAATTTTTTAGGGGCAGTGGAAAATAAATGATTTTCAGTAGTGTAGGATTAGCCAGAGCCAGCTGTCTGCAATATGGCAATATTTTACAGTAGAGTCCCATAAGTAAAATGTCAACCATATGCAAGACTTAAGTTTCAAGCTATTTAAAGGAAGTAATTGCTGTGTATTTCTTTTTAATTATGACAAAGAAGGTAATCTATTGCATTCATTCTTTGCATGTATTTGTTTTTTTAAAGGCCATACAACAATGGTCACGATAATTCCTGTGGAGCAACGTCATGAAGATCATAAAGTCGGAGAGTGAACTTCTTACTTTGTGTGTATTTGTATTGCAAATGTAAATAGGTCTTATGTAATGTTTCCTGGAAACAGTGACTGTCCAGAAAGTTTTTTTTTTCGTGGGAGAGAAACAGACAAACCTACATTAGTTCAGTGTTGGTCTCCGTTACATAATTGTTTTTTTAACGCAGCACACACCATAAGGCAGGGAGGAGGTCATGCATATCTTTTCTCTCAGTATCCCTCAATTGTGCCTTCTGTTCACAGCAACTGTATGACACACACACACATATACACATGGAAAGACAGGACTCACACACAAACACACTCACTTGCCCACAGACTTCCACCCCCTGCATGGATGAGGCTTCCCCCTTTCCCCTGTGAAACCTCCTCTCTGAAGGCCAACTGGCATTGCTCCACTTCCTCTGCGCACAATGCCTCAGCCGCTACTGTTATGAAAGAAATCCATACTGCAGCTAATAGCTTTTCCTATTGCTTCTACTTATATAATGCTTCTGTATGTTTAAGGTCATTGTGTCATTAGGCCACTGATATCAACCTATCCACACAGCGTACCAAACATTTTAAATATAGCAACGCAAAACAGACATTTTATACATTTGACCCAAATTCCCAGAGCAGAACTGTGACATTATTTTCCTTATTGATTAATATGTATATTGTTTTTTAGGGTTATTTGGATTATTCAGTTGATCATTTGGGTTATAAAATGTTTGAATTTTGAATTGTAGAAAATACATGGTCAAGACCGTGTCTTCAGCTGCCAGATGTCAGTCAAATACTTAAGGATACTCAGTTTACGATCATAAAAACGAAATTTCTAGTCTGCATTTATGATAAATGTAGCTGAGAAAAATGTCTGATCTTGTTGATTCCAAATCATTCACCCACTTTGCTTAAACCTGAGCTAAAATCATGGATTTGCTGTTTCCCTCTGATTTGTTTCATCAAGATCCATTTATTAATCTCACAATGTTAAAGAAAAAAACATCTGTTGATCTGACTCCTGATCCAGATCCCTACCATACTCTGAATGGGTTCTTCCCTGAACCATGCCCTAACACGTTTTTGTGTCATGCTGCTCACTAACAAATAAACAGACAAAGACAAACACACAACTTTCATGGTGGAGTTAATGATCATTAGCTACAAACCTAATCAAATTAATGTTGCGAAACAAAAAGCTGTTAATTAACACTTAGTACATATTTAATTAAATTGGTTATGTTAGTCAAACTCGACTGCCTGTTTGTCTTTGGCTGTGAGTCTTTAATTAATCGAAATTTTCAATCATTTGAAGGATTCCATGTGTAGAATAGTATGATGTGTGTTCTATACTGTGTACTTTGGGCCCCAGTTGCTCATGAGTAACCCAGTCAGGGTTTGTTTCCAAAGAGTCCCACTCACTCCCTGCTCCTCTTTTTCAAGGAACGTCTTGACTGTGACCAGATTTCACACTGTAGTGAAAAGGAGCTTAACTGCATCAAAACAGGACTGACAGATAGTGACGCCTGTGTAAACAACAACACTGTGAGTAAGACAAAGGAGCCGAGGGGCTTCTCTCCAGACTCACTGTCTCATCGGGAGGGTAAACAAGTCCCACAAATTAACCTATGAATACAGTACTGAAACTGACGGCTTCAAACACTGCCCAGACGCAAAACATTGACAGACTGGCTGGCTTTAAATTCTCCGTGAGGCAGTTTGATTAAACTCTGAGCATATTAAAAAGAGAAAAAGAGCCAAGATCCTCACCTGATGTGTCCCAGAGACTGAGCTCCACCCGCTGGTCTTCAAGCTCCAGACAGGCTGTGTAGTTCTCAAACACAGTAGGGACATACGTCTAGAAACGGACCAAGAGTTTGGGAGCATTTAATACTTCTGTTTATTTCAAATCACAAACTCACATGAACACTAATTAACTTACTCATAGGGCTGGGTATATATATATATATATATATATATATATATATATATATATATATATATATTCGACTTTTGTTATATTGCTATTGATGGAAATTATATTGTCTTATTGTCCAGCCCTACTTATCCATTATTTAGTAGTGAGATCAAATGCCTATCATGAGGCTGACCAACAGCAAAAGGTGTGAAATGTTTAATTATACAACATGAAAGACAAATTACATGTTCAGATTTCTAAACAACCTTGTTATTTTCAAGTGATTGACACAATAAATAAATAATCAAAACTCAATTATCAATTATCTTATTTACACTGTTTTATTCACAGTCTGGAAGTATAACCCCTCTTTACAACACCAATTCAATATAGTATTAATCATGCCATGGGAGAAATAATATATGTTAAAACGTATATCATATATCAATAGCTTTAAATATAGGAGCACTTAACCAAACCGTATTGGAGTAAGAGGTATAATATATGGAGCAGGAAGACAATGAACTCCTTCGACCATTAAGGGCAAAAATAATTCATCACAGTTACTTAAATGAACTGTACAATAACACAACTGATGCCACAGTAACTGCAGGCACTTCGCTAGTAAAGAGAGCTCATACCTCTGGGTAACAGTCCTTGGCCAACACTTGTAACATCGCTGTCTTCCCGCACTGGACGTCTCCCACCAGGACCAGTTTACACCTCGCTACAAAAGGCTGGGGGAGTCTTCTCTCCTTCATGATGGGGAGTGAGAAATAAAGGGTGGAATAGCAAGAGGAAGAGTGGTTGGAAGAAGTGATAGAATCAAACCCTTCTGCCTCCAGCTCGGTGTGTCAGTGAGGGAGAGAGGAGCAGTGAGTGAGAGGGGGAGAGACACTGCTGAAGTTTATAATGAGGCTCCAACCAATGAGAGGAGGAGGAGGAAGAGGAGGAGAAGGAGGAGGAGGGCAGAGCTGCAGGGCTGCAGGGCTGTGGCCAGGTTTTTATAAATATTAAAGTCATGTTGAGTCCCCTCCATACACCACCTTAACTGAACCACCCTCACACCTCCACCACAAAACAAAGAAGAGGACATTCTTTTAAATATTTGGCTTCTCTATACTTATTCCGTTTAGAGAATACTGATGAGACTTAGCATACAGTGTAATGAATACTAAGTGTGTGAAGGTTTTTAATTCACATAATGGAATATAAACTCCCTGCAGACAGAAATAAACAAATTCACACACAAGATTTAATGATTTACATGCACTTGCTTTGTGTCTCCATAAGGAAGACATGTCCCCATAATGTGACACCATTTGTTATCTTTATTTAATACACAATCTTTATTATATATTTACATTGTCTCAATTATTTTTGCTCATCTAAACTCTTAATTGAATAATTTATCATTAAGTTTATTTTTAAAAATGCCCATCACTTTATCTCAGAGACCAAAATGAGATTATTAAAATCTATTTTTTAAGTCATGAAACAATCATGACAGCGGAGACTGAGTGCGTTTGAATGTATTTGCACACAGGCAGGTGATCGCCACTGGCTCCTAATGTGAAATCCAGGATACTTGAGCAGCAGCCGATCACTTTGTGTTTGTGAAAGCCAGAAGTAATCAGGAAGTACCTGTAGTCGGACTCAATAGGTTTTGTCTTCACGTGATATATCTTCTTTGTTTTGTCATTGTTGTTGGTCAACTGATAACCTGACTGACAGACAATGTCTATGAAAGGTCTGAGGCAGGAAGGTACACATTTATCAGAATTTTTCTTTCACTCTTTCTGTCATATATATATTTTTGTGTTTATATTTCAATCCATAGCTGGATACGGACGTGTGCAGATTCTCACAATTATGAAACGTATGAGTGACTTTACATATGTTTCTACATCATGTAGCGTGCGGGGCCAAGCGGAGCCTGCAAACACATGACAGATGGCTTCATCAATCTGAAGTGTAACAGAGATTTTTAAAAGTGTCAGCCATTTGGAGAGCGAGTGGAGCGTGGCGTGTTGTGCCGAACATAAATGGAAAGAACCGCTCATCTGTCACAGAGGACTCTTTGATGCCATTAATGTACAGCATGAAACTCTGCATGGGGACATGGGCTGCACCTGCTGCCTGGTTTAGAGATAAACAAGGTAAAATGCTCTTTGCTTCATTGAAATTTCTACCTATGTGCTCTGCTCTGTTGCCTCTAATACAAATACATTAAACCAATACATGCAAACACTTTCAGCTACTTCCACTTTCACACCCCCATGCTCCAGTTCTCCCTCTTGCTGTTTAAGTCTGACTTTCAAAACATTGAGTTACAGACAGTTTGTCAGAATGAATTCCTCTATTCCTTTTCTCCACTGTGGAAAAATCTGTCTTTCATTTTGTTATAATAATCATACACATAAACATGGTTCAGTGGTTAGCACTGTTGCATGGTTGCATGTTCTCAGCATGTTCTCTGTATGTTGGCCCTGCGATACTCTGATGACCTGTCCAGGGTAGGTGAGGTTTTTTTGTGCATATTTCGAGCCAGGCTAACTCTTCCCCCCTGTTTCACCTCTTCATAACAAATTACACCAATCAGCTCTAGACCTGACTGTAAAGTTTCCATGTTTTGGACCTTTGGAATCACAGTCATTCAGCATTTGTTCATGTGTTCAGCTGAAGCAGGATGTGTTTTAGAGCTATCCTACTGAACTCTGTGTCACCAGTGTTTTTCCTGATGCGAAGTGACAGCAGTCTGAGATGGTTGCACACTGTGGTTATCTGAAGATGCGGTGAGGTTTTTTTAATCCTAAAACTCTGACTTCTCGAGTAAAGCTAACACGTTGACCTATAGTGCTGGCTAACATGCTCTGTGGGCACCTGACGATTGTCTGACCTAGATTTATCATGCACTGGGTTGAAAGGGGCATTTTTCCCCCTTGTTTCACTTTTACCTAACTCACCTCACTGACATTTAGTGTGTGTGTGTGTGTGTGTGTGTGTGTGTATGTATGTATATCAACATATATTGATGCTAGAGAAGAGACAAACACAAAGGCATTAATCCCAAATCCAATTCTAATCATCTCTGAGAAAGGACCCAAAAAAGAAAAACCCATCACAACCCAAATGCCTTGAAGCAGAATAATTTGCATAATTTAAGTATACGACGTGGTTGAGAGCTCTCGCATTATGTAGATCAGGGTATGAATAAAGAGTATTAACATACACACAAGTGCAATCATGAGGTGGAAATGTTTTGCTATGCAGTTACAGTCAGACCTGCCTGTTAATTGCTGTTGAGCATGCCACAGTTTACTAATACTGCAAAGGAGAACTTGGCTCATTATCATAGTACATAGGTATTTCTTATGGTTATGCTAAAAATTGGGTGATAGCAGTGGCGGAGGATGTTCCCCACTCTTAGCAAACAGTTGTAGAAAGGATGATAAATAAAATAAGTATAAATAAATGGAGAGTATAAGAGTGGTGGTGGCTTGGTTTGTCAGTTATGTAAAAAATAGCTAAACCTAAAAGCTTTACATGTAGGTTTCCATAAGCCACAAGTGTAGTTGAATAGATCTGCATGGATGTTTATATGTCTTGACATCTACATTGTAAAATCTCCATTAAACTGTGTCATGTATGGGCAGAATGAAAGAGAAGAAATTATAGAGTAGGTTCCAATGACATACAAAATAGACAAGTATGAGATGAGACAGAATTGATACGATTACAGAGCCAATCATATCGAGGCTAATGTGCAGTAACACAAAGGGAGTTATTTCATATCAGAAGTACAATAACTGATGAGAGCTCTTAACGCTGCCCAGCTCTCAACCTTCAGTCTGAACAGCGCCACTTCAGGAAGATAGAGTTTCAGAGTGGCTGCATAAAAATACAGAAGTAAAGCCACATTATGAATGAGCAGAAGAGGGGCACACGCCGGCTGCTCCTTTGGTCTGGGACTCAAAAAGTGCCCTTTTCAAATGTCAGAGCAGAGCTTGACCGTGCACTTTGCATGTACCTGCACTGGTATCAGACAGAAAGGGGGGGGGGTCATAAATTAGAACAATTTTGCCAAAAAGAAACAAAAGAAGATGCTTGTGTTGACCTGTGTGTTCTTTCTCTATACCCCTGTTCACTTTTGATTTCACCAATGATGCTGACTGTTAGTGCTCTTATGTTAACCTTAGAAAAAAATGTGAACAAGAATTTCAGTAGCATTTCTTTGCAATTTCCAGGCAAGTGGAGCTCAATGTACCAATGCTGACTATGTTGTCATGACAATGTACTGCCCTCTGAAGGTGGGGAACAGAAAGCGCAGTGCATGCAGAGCCATGACACCTCAACACCATGAACGCAGAGGAATGGTTTTCTTGTTGGAGGAGGTGTAGAACACTTCTCTGTGGTATCTAGAAAGAGGATGTTGCAGTCAAATATTATTTATTGGCGCTCTTCACAGCACCCAAGGTCACCTTACCAGGCAGATATCAAAACAGAACAAAAAAACATGTATGAAAAAGATCAATAAAATTAACTGTGAATAAAACATTATGTGGGTTGGCCAATTGGAAACCAATCAGACTGAATATGCCAGTTTAAGAGAAAGATATTATACACAAATCGTTCTCTTTTTATTATTTACCTATCTTTTTAACTTATTAATTAATTTCCTTAATATTCATTTACACAGTAAAAGACAACGTTGCACTGTTTTTGTGTTTACTTCATTGTTTAATTGAAAGGGAAACTTGCGCCCGAGTGAAGAAATTACTACATGTCCCATGAGCCTCTCAACTCCCGGCAATACGTCACTTCCGCCTCTCGATTAGTCGTAGGACAAACATCACACGGTTCAGTAAAGTGACGTCCTGTAAGTTCCTCATACTGACGTCATACTTCATCATCGTACATATGAGCTCATCTCCTCTGGACTTCAGCTCACTCGTCATGTCTGTGTCCGTTTGACCTTCTCCTTTAAAAGTCACTTCCTGGTTTTGGTGACGACATCGTCTGCTCCTCCTCTCATTGGTTGTGTCCGCTGCTTATGACTTTTTCCCGCGTTGTAAACCAACACACAGAAGCTGGAGTCGCGGGAAACTTTAACGCTGTTTTACTCGAGTACCGGAGAAGCGTGTTTACCACCGGGAGATGCCGTCCTCCGGTTATGACTCGGGCTGTCTGCCGGATCTCCTGCCGCTGTATTACCGCCGCCTCTTCCCGTTCTCTCAGTATCACCGCTGGCTCAACTATGGAGGAGGTGACTGTCAGTGATCAGACAGGACTTAACATCGCGTTAGCCTATTGTTAGCTAACTAGACTATCCATGACTTTGTGACACAGCAGTGGCTGGTTTGTTTTCCTGTTGACAACATGAAACACTCACTTATCAGTTTATTAGGTACACCTATCTAAAACTGATGCAGCCCAATTTAACAGCCCTGTCATAAATACAACTTCTATTAAGGTTAGATTCTAATTCTTGTAGATTTGTTGGTTCAGATGTATGCTCGACATAAGACGATGCAGTTTGTGGTGTTAAATATTTAATACGTTGACTTGCTTCAATGTTTATGGTAAATCTGTCACAACACACACTTACACATGAACACACAGTTGACTGGAATTGCCATTTATTATAAAGTTAGCAATAACAGCAAATTTCTCAAAGAGTAACCATATCATGTGTCCAATACATTCATATCAATAGAGTCAAGTAAAATAAGTCAGTAGAATGCAATACAATTCAGCAAACTTTATCTAAGTCATCTTGTAATTGAATCAACAGCCTTAAACTGTTTGAAAACTTAATTTTATAACCCTCATGAAAGGAGGAGTTATTGCACGACAGTTGTATTAGACAGTACTAGTTATAGCCAAGTGTGCCTAATAAACTGTTGACTGATGATGTGTTTCTTTTTCAACCTCAGTGCAGAAGAACTACTTTCAGAATCGGGAGTTCTCCTTCACACTCAAAGATGACATCTACGTGCGCTACCAGTCATTCAGCACGCAGAGCGAGCTGGAGAAGGAAATACAGAAGATGAACCCGTACAAGATTGACATTGGAGCAATATACAGTCACAGGGTGAGCTTGCTTGTGAGATGCACTCCTACAGGAATCTGTCTCTGCAGGAACATGGAGATAATTTCCTCTGTTTGTCGCCCACAGCCAAACCAACACAACACAGTGAAGTCAGGAAGCTTCCAGGCACTGGAGAAGGAGCTGGTGTTTGATATTGATATGACAGATTATGATGATGTCAGAAGCTGTTGCAGGTAATTGTGTTATAAGGTTAATTTTAGCTGACATTCATATATATCTTAGTGTCTTATTGTCCTAAATAACCATCCATGTCCATTTTACATCACTTTGACCTTTTAATGCAGCATATTCTGTTAACCACTGAAGACATAAACTCTAATTTTAGTGCTGCAGACATTTGTTCCAAGTGCTGGACCCTGATGACTGTTGCTATTCATATCCTGGATCGAGCTCTTCAAGGTTTGTTTGTCATTGATTTTGTGTCCAGCCATCTGCTCATGTTATTTTATTTTTGGTAAAATTAACAGAAAGCACTTTCTTTGTTTAATGTGATATTCCAGAGGACTTTGGTTTCCAGCACCTGTTGTGGGTTTATTCTGGCAGAAGAGGAGTGCATTGCTGGGTGTGTGATGAAGCTGCCAGGAAGCTCTCTGTAGCTGCACGCTCTGCTGTTGCAGAATACCTGAGCCTGGTGAAGGTAACAGAATTGCAGCCTCTAGTGAATAATGAGGACATCACTCATGCCAGTTTAGACCCAGACAGGAACCAAGAGCATCAGCTTAGCTCATCTAAGAGGAGTAATTGGATTCTTTTAAAGCTGTGAAAGACTTGTATGTAAAAACCAGTCAGTTCATTTTTGAGATGTAATGTGATGATTGACAGGGTGGTGACGAGATGGTGAAGAAAGTGGTGCTGACAGATCCTCTTCATCCTTTTATCCAGTAAGAATCTGATCGTTTGAAGGTGTTACTGTTTGTGTTCTGTCTTAATGTGTGTGTGTAATTTCACTGATGATCGTTAAGCTCGTCCTCTGTGTTGAAAGTTGTCTCTTCAGCTGTTTAAAAGTCTGTTCCATCTCAACAGAGAGTCTTTGACAGTGGTGGAGAAATACTTTCCCCAGTATGCACTGCAGGATCAGGAGATACTGAGCCGCAAGGAGTCTGTAGACAAAGTGCTGGCACTCGTGCCTGAAGATATCCTTTTCACAGTTTGATTTGTATTCACAAGAACACGCACAGTTGAGCTGGTGGTTAAACAGCATTTTCTCTCTTGACCTTAACTCATCTCTTACATGTTAGAAAAGAATTGCAGCAGGATTTCCAAAATGAGAAGAAACCCGACAGTCGTTGGCTACTGATTAAGGATCAAGCCTTTAAGAAACAGGTTAGTAATTTTCAATGTTTTACCCCAAGACATTTCCCGTTTTTTACGCATTGCAACAAAAGGCATTATGACCAAGACAGGGGCACTGACAAAGTCCCCATCTATTCCTCCAGGCCACTGCCAAGAAGGGTCAATACTTTGAGAAAGAAATCATGCTGCAGTATTGTTACCCACGGCTCGATGTCAATGTCAGTAAAGGTGTGAACCATTTGCTGAAGAGCCCCTTCAGTGTCCACCCCAAAACAGGTGAGTGCAGATCTAATGAGATTGAATCAAGCCTGCAATGGTGAATATGTCTCTGACTGATTCTCACTGTGACTTTTCCCCTATAACTCTATCCAGGACGCATTTCTGTTCCCATGGACCTCAAAGAATTAGAAACGTTTGATCCTTTTGCTGTGCCCACAATCAGGTGAGCCATAATTGAAATGCCCTTGTGCTCTGTTGTGTGGACTGTTTGAGTTAAAGTTGTGACTTTTTTGTTCTAGTCTGATCTGTGAGGAGCTGGATCGGCCCAGAACAGGAGAAGAGGAGTCGGAGGACGTGAAGGAAAACGAGAAGGATTCAGCAGAGAGACGAAAGATCAGAGGTGAAATTCTGAAAGCTGAATGTCAATCCTCCTGCATCACAAACAAGAGCTTTACCTGTCAATCTTTCTCGAAATTATTATCTTTTTCCATCAGCTAAAAGTACTTTATACTGGGTTGAACATTGCTTTACAATACATATAGTAACAAATACGACTCATGCTATGTATATAAGTAAAAATAAATGGAATTAATAGACTTGATATGTAAGAATAAAGGTAAAGGGTACTTGTATCTTTACTGAATATTTGAGTTCACTGATTCATTTTCTTTACAGATTACAAAAGAACCAGTTTGGCAAAGTATGTGAAATACTTTGATCAGTTTCTGGATGGAATGGCCCAATCATGGAAAGGAGAACTTCTCAAAAAGAGTGGTAGGTTTTAATTTTGATAGATTAAGTGATGAGAGTTTTTACTCACATGTTTCATCAGCTTTCCCTTCTCCTTCTTTTTCTTTTAGATCTTGAGAAAGAATTCTGAACTGGATCAACAATCACAAAGTCGAATGATTTTGAGGTGGAACTGTTTATATGTTGTGGTAGAATATTTCCATTTTCTCAGAGGAACAATGATTTTTTTATTTCAAATCTGCTTTATTATACTGGTATCAGATTCAGTAATAATACGTTTATAAATTAAACAGTAGTAAATCATCTTAGTTTGGATTTTCTTTATATAATGTCAATTTTGTATTTTCTACTTGTTGCCACTGTACAGTCATTTGTGAAAATAAATTTGGTATCCCTACTATTTCATATGCTTGTATTCTAGTTACTTTTGAACAATGTGTGCAACACTGATCATCTCTTTTAGTGGTGCATTGTACTTTCAGGGTGCAGTCCTTAAAGGTTTGAGGTCTTGTTTATTAGCAGGATTACACAAAAACTATTCAGTGGATTTCCACAGTAGTAGAAGGATGGGACACAACACGCCAGGAAAGAACCTGTTAAATATTGACACAGATGTGGTTGAAGAGGTGGATCCAGGAATTGTTTTTAGATTATTTCTCAAGAATTTACCTGATCACATCTTCGACATAGAGGAGATACAGAGAGCCTCATCTGCTTAATCTTTCTATATAATATATATATATATATATATATATATATTTCTTATTTTCACTTATTTAAAAATGACTTAAATCTCTATGATGTGACTTTACTTGTTAAAGAAGTCTTCTTGTGTCCAAACCTCAACATTTTCAGTGAAATACTTTTCTTAGTGTTGAAAAACCTGTGGAAGCCTTCAGTTGTCATAAAACTCAAAAGGTTTGGACTAGTGTAAAAAAACTTGGCAGCATCCGGAGAAAGGACCCGCTCCTCATGTAAATATAAAGTGTTTAAATATAAATGGCCCATTCTTGTGTGAATACAACAACAATTTGTACAATTTAGATGAAACACACCAGTGAAAAATTATAGGATTATTTTATACTCAATTTATGTCAATAGATCCCTTTCACCTAAATCTTACACACTGGTAATAAATAAAAACCCAGCACATGTAGGGGACTGATATCCATGAGCCTAGTTTCAATAACCTATGTAAGGTGTACTTGAGTATTATTAAAAGCGCTGTATAAATAAATAGCTATTATTATTATTATCGTATTTGTTGCAGTATTAAAAATAAACTAAGACAGGCTGTGGATCAATATATGTGAAAATCAAGTTTTAAGTAGTTCTTTTGAAGGTCCAGTCCAAACATTGAGGTAAAATAACTACGTGTTGTCCCTTTAAATACCCCGGAAGTAGAAAGTCCCTCTGTAAAGCGGATATCACCGTGACGCGGAGGTCAGGAGTTCTCTCTCACAGCCATCTTGGATATAACGTCCAGAGTCGGTGAGTGTCTCTGCGGACAATCCAACATCATCCAGCCGTTTCCTACCAATCCCCGTCTCCGTTAAAGGTGTCGTATGCTCGGTTAAAGTCCCGCCATCAGGCCGGTGCAGCTTTTGTGACTCCACCGGCCTCTGGTTCCGCGATTTATCCGCCGTTGTGTCACCGATTACCGGCTCAAAATGGGGGAACATGATGACTACCAGTGTGTACGAGCAGCCTGTCAGGGCCGGCGTGTGATGAGGGGTTTAACCGAGCAAACTCTTGTCTTTCCGGGTGTGAAACAAGAGGGGGGAGCCATGGGAAAACTGGCTCGTTAGCTGATTAGCCTCCTCTTTGTTGAGTTTGACAGAAGAAGTTAGTTTACCTTCCATCCAGGGGAAAGTAACACCACAGCTGCGGCTCACAAGCTAAAGCGTGGGCTCAGTCCGGCTATGACAACTGCTGCAGTCCGGTTCGTCAGCGATGTGTCATGTGTTAACTGCGAAATCCCAAATTATTCAATCCATCACACATCTCCAGTTAGCTTCAGTTAGCTTTCTTTCTCGATATTCAACCTTGAAGGCGAACTAAGCTTCATAGTATGTCATCTTGTCTCTTCTGAAATACTTAGAAGTAATAACTTTAATCTGTATTTGTGAACAGGGTTTATTTATCATTTCTTGTTAATCAAGTTCACACTTGACACGTTTAAATGTTAAAGATCTAAATTTAGACCTGGTCTGATTGTTACACTTTTTGCAATGTTAGTTTTTATTAACTTACTAAGTTATTAACTCTCTAAACCTGAGGCTGTTTTAACCAGTGTGCCCTGCAGCCCATGTGAAGACAGTGTACTTCATAGTCATAAACTTTTAGAGATGAGCATACCTCCACAGTAAATCAGGGATGCAGCAAATACTCACACAATACGTTGGCATTGAAGAGTTTTTGGTTTAAACTGATAAAGATCAATAATGGAAATCTGTTTAGCTTGAGTTTGAGTCTTGTGTGATTAAATTGTTTTGACCTTGTTTTTTGTTTTTTTTCTCTCACAAGCAACCATGCCTGGTGAAGCCACAGAAACGGTCCCTGTCACCGAGCAGGAGATGCAGCAGCCTCAAGTGGAGACTGGTTCGTATATTTTAACTTCACATGCTTGCAATAATGTGTTTTTAAAGAAAGGGGTCCTTGAACTCTCAGAACCTGTGAATTGGTCAACACATCGTGGAGGAATCAATATTGGATGACTGGGCCATTATTTGGTTGTAAGTAGTTGACTCAGCTGGCTGGACACTTGAGTTGACGTAACAGGTGACGGTTATTTTGACTGTCACCAGCCAAGTGTTTGTAACAGTAGTATGCTTGCCAAGCAATCAGCAGTGGTGATGTTGCTTCGCTTGCCTTGAAGAGTTATCCAGGACCCCTGTTTTTATTTTTACAAACTCACAAAGTAGTGTGGAGACTTGCACTGACAACTGGACACGATGCATGATGTGTGGTGTGGGTTTCCCCGTGCACAGTGAATGACTTTAACCCAGTTTGTGTATAACGGACGTTGCCTTGTTGGTGATGGTGGAGATTATTCTGTGTTGCATATACATATATATATATATTGGATTGCAAAATGTTTGTCAATAATTTCTCAACCATTAGT